ACACGTGAGAGAACAGAGGATCCAATGATTAAGACACATGACACGGAATAGTGATTAAAACAGTCATAAATTAAAAACCAGTAGGGAAAAGACCTCGGGTCGGCACGACAATGGACGGTTGCATGTCGTCAAAGAAAAATTCGATCGATTATAAGTGCAAGAAGAATAATAATCCAAGAAAAGTGGAGGGAGATCGTGATGACGGGTAAAACTGAGAGTACTGAGTGCCAGGAAAGAAGAAAAAAAATATAATGTAATAGAATACGAATACATAAAAAAACTTTTACTTTTACAGTAAACTGAAATTGCGATAAATTATATTCTATCTAATATCTAGCAAGGTATTAAATTCGTATAATGTAATACGAGAAATTCAATTTCTTATGTACATATTGTACACTTGAGAATTTCAAATTGTGATATAGCCATATATTATTGTTTATAGTTTGTATAATGGATACGTGTAACGGGCCGTTAGACTTTTATTGGAATTTTCACACGGTTTAATTTGCATTTGTAAAGAGAATAAAAAACTACAAGCATTCCCTTCAAACAAACGTACGAAATGAAAAACACCCGTTAGAAAAAAAAAAGGTTAAATCTTTTCCCGTGATCTGCCTTTTTCCCTGCGCAAAATACATATTAGTTTAAGGAAGATAGATGTCTATACGGAGGGAAAAACTTGGCACGTGAAGACGTGTTGCAGCACTAACCCTAAAATACAATTTCTTATCGATATTCAACCTGCAAGAGGTATAATTTTTAAAAACTATTATTTAGTTAATTTTAAATTTGGAGAAAAAAGAGTATTAGTTTTAATATGTGTGATTTAGGAGGAGCGGTGAAGACTGTAAACAATATTTCTACCAGAAATTGCATTCCAATCAAAAACCTTATAAGAACTTTTTTTTGCAAAATTTTTAATTTTTGTTGGTTAATTTCGATTATTTTTAGATTTTTCTTAAAAGTTTCTTAATAAAAAAAAAAGGTAGTTTTTTGTTTAATTTTTTAGGTACATTGACAATAAGGGGAAAAATATAATTTAAAATATTCTACTCAGAAAAGCTTTTTGTTAGCAATGGTTTATTGTTTCGTCCAGAATTAAGTTGAATTACTCTATTATATAGACTACCCAGTAACAACTCGTAAATTACTTTCTTTTTTTTTATTTTTCAAACCACGTTTCCATCAGAAACCTTGCTAAAATCAAAAGCTCAACTATTCTTGTATTATTTTTGTATCTCGTTGGTACTTTGAAAAGAAAATTTTTGATTTTCCTTGTACTTTCTTAATAACAGTTTTCTTGACACAATTTTGTAAAATTTGTTTAAATGTATTTACGAATTTTTACTGAATACATACTCGACGATATTAAACTTCAAACCTAACTTTTAAAACAGTGAACACACATCAGGAGTATCAGTCTTTTTAAATTTAACTTATAGGTAATTTTAATCTCAAGTTTTTAAACTACTCTTCGATAGCTATCGGGAAGGTACATAGTTGAAAGTATATAAAGTAAACGAAACATTTTTCTCCATTTAATAATACAATATAATTGTTTATTTTAATTTAAACGAATATACTCCAATGTTATATTTAAATATACATCTAATATAAGTATTTAAATTGTAAGTACATAAAAATAAAATCCTTACTTTTTATTTTACTATACTTTATACCTATACAAAACATTTAAAATTCAAATATATCGAAAACTGCGTAAAAGTATATAGTAAATCGTATTGAAAATAAAATATAAATGTAGATGTAATGTTTATGTATTATGTAGCTAGGATAAATTGAACGACGATGGTATAGATGACTTATATATAGTTATACGTTTAAAATCCCTAAGGAAATAAATATGAAGAAAATGGCTTTCTCTTCTGTTCTACTATATACGCAACAACCCTTGACTGTATCATATTTCAAAATCTTTTGTGACAAGCCATTTACGACTAGCTGCCAAAAACACATTGTATTTGAAGGGGGTTTTCTCATAATACACCCAAAAAAAAAAATATATAAAAATATATAATAGGTAACTGAATTCCATACTATTATAATTAGATAGCATTATTACATGTATTTGAATCGAAATAATTACTTTATAGAAACACATAATATTATTTTATATCAATTGTAAATTCCGTAAATACATGATTGAAGTTGGCTACTATTTTAAACAAGCGAATAAGTGATTCTATTTAACCGATTATAACTAATCTTCGTAATTTTATCGGATCAATTTTCTGGGAGCCACAGAAGATGAAAAATTCAACAATGACCACTCAAACGTGGGTATTAATAAACTATAATTATATAATACATTGTTCAATTAGGTATACTATAAATCTATATTCTATATTCTATATATTAAGAAAAATTACGTAAAAAAAAAGAGCTGATACTGCGAAAAACGATTCTGAACGTAGTTCATTTATACATTACATTTGAAGAGTCGTAATATTTACGATTTTCATCAAAATCAGATTTTAAAAGAATTTAGGTCTTAAAAAAAGAAAATTAATACATTACACTCTACTTTTTTTATTTTACCACTTATAAGTGCAACTATTATATAATTAACCTCTTGTTAAATTTCTGTTGGTCAGACAACTAGGTATATATCCACATAGTACCAAAAAATAAAAAGGCGAAATTAAATCCCTATAAATATAATAAATTAACTTAAAAAAAAAATGATAAAAAGTTTATAGTAAAATTCACAAATGTTTAAAAAAAAATTAGCCGCCATCTCAAAATTTACCATAACTGTTCCCTCCTCCTTTTCTCTAAACACGTGTTCATAATGCTAATATTAAAATAATATACTATAATATATAGACAGTAATAATAATGTACTTTGGGAAAATACACATTACGTCAGTCATATGTTACATCTCAGTTTATTTATCACTAAGCAACAGTTATTTTTTTTTTAGCTCTTGTATTTTTGCTAACGAATATTCTGTCACTCTGCCTTTAACGTTTAGTCCTAAATGTTGTTTTTTTGATTTCGTTGCCACAATTATATTTAAATTACGATTTGTTAAATCTCATACATCGATTCAAGACTTTTTTCGACTATTAATAATTCATATATATTTAATAATATATTTATTTCAAAGATTTTCAACATTATACTTTATTCTATGCTCATATAATAATAATGGCATTTGCCACATTACGTTTGGTGCAATACGTTTGCTGTATCGCAAAAATTATTCTGTTGTTGCTTTTATATATTATGACCACTTTATTACCTAAGTATTATGACAGATCTGGAACGAGCCTGTACCATGTTGATCAAATATGTGCAATTGTGTACATAATATTATAAAAAATATTTTATTATAAACACATTTTTTTTGTTATTATTATTATTTTTTTAATTAAAATAGCCGTTCAAAATTAATTCCCTACCTAACTTTTCTTCTGGGTCTTTAAAACGATTCGTATGCATTATGCAAACAATACAACCTAACCATGAACGTAATTCGGAACATGAAAGACGTTTTTGGGTTTATCATGTACATACATTTTTTTTTTTATTATTTTATTTATTTAAGCAAAACTTAATAAATAAACATGCAGAAATTTGAACAGAAATGAAATACAGAACCAGGTAATAAGGTATTAGTGGTATTTATTAACCAGGTATTAGTATAAGAACGAAAGGTGAACGTTAGCAATGCACATCATATGGTATATAATATTGTTCAAACAATACTTGGTGGTGTGCAAAGGGATTGCAAAAGTATTGGTAGAGCGGGTCAGACGTGGAGGGACTCAAAAGTTGATGAAGGAAAGACCGATGGTGTGCCCCCAGAACTGCCGATGAGGCTACGGAGGAACTTCAAGTTAATGCCAACTCTTCTACCGACTAGCGTAGATAGACCAAGCACGTGAAGAACTGAAGAGTAATCATACAACGAGTGGAAGATATTCCACACATGGCCGGCATAGTATAGAAAACGTCTTTGGACACATTCGATAATTGCAGAGTCGAAGGCTGTAATGAGATCTCACAAAATAGAACCATACTAAGCAGGGGTAGCACTAAGAAACAGTAAAGAGCCTTCAGCGAAAAGGTAATTTTAAATTCAGACGATATTTATTTTACGAAACCTAGAATCTTATACGCTTGACAACTTATTGATTGGATATGATAGTGAGAATAAAATTTAGAAGATAAGAGAACCCCCGGATCTTTTTTACGACTGGTCGATGCAAGATTAATATTGTTAATTGAGTAGGTGTGGCTTTAAATTAAAGTACGAGTTCTGGAAAAGAACATGGATTGGCACTTGTTCACGTTCAAATTAAGACCAATAGCTTCAAACCAAATAATTATAATGTTAAGTTCGTCCTGCAACAGGAGACAGTCGGAGTAGTTATGAATTCACCGAAAAATGTTTAGGTCATCTTAAAAGCTAGAATATTGCAATTAAAATTTATTTGCGATACCGTCGATAAACAGTACAAATAGTAAAGGTGACAGGTGGCCTTCCTGAAGAACACCTGAAGGAATGAAAGAGACATCAGATTTATATCCATTATATTTCACCAATTGATACCTACCGTATAGATAAGATTGGAACCAAGTAAATGGTGGATCACCAAACCCAGTCTTACTAAGTACTCGGAGTAAAATGTTGTGATCAACTCTATCGAAAGCTTTTTTTTAAGTCCATAAATATAACTTCAACCTAGCACTAACTTTAAAAAGCTTCGAGATTAAAATTATTGAGGACCAACAAGTTCATCACAGCTGAACGCCCTGGCCTAAAACCATACTGTTCATCAATAAGAATCGGTTTAACTAAAGACAGCATTTTTTTGAGTACGAGCTTTTCAAAAAACTTTGCAATACGGCCTAGGGTAGAAATTGGCCTGTAATTCCTGACACAAGATTTGTCACCAGATTTAAAAATGGAGTGTTGCTTAGTTTCCAAATAAATGGAAATACCCTTCATCTAATAAACGTTTTAAAAATGTGCCAGAATAGAGCAGAAAGAAAAGATTTAAGGTTAAAAAAGCAGGATCCTGGAAGCCCATCAGATCCTACAGAATTCACGTTTTTTAACCTACCAAGACCAGAAGTTACTACCAGAATAGTTACTATTGCGATGTTTTATTTGTTTTTGCGGTAAATATATCCGATATATTGTTCCAATCACCAACGTCCGTGGACGATTTTCAGTAGCAAATCGTTTAAACGGTGCAACGGCGAAATCGATTTTTGATTTTCCTTGTTGTTTAATTAAAAATGGGGAAAAACGTAATGAAAAACGACAGAAATATTTACGCAATCGCGGTGTCTAATTAAATTATGTCAAATACGACTAAATATTCGGAAATTGTATACAAGATAATATCGACTATCCAGTTGGAAACTGAAACAGGTCAAAAATCAGTTTACTTCGAAACAATTTCAGTTCAAGAACGCAATGAAAATTAGTCCAATTATCGAGCATTTAACTTGTTTTAGAACAAGAATTAGATTAGGTAACTTAAATAAACTTATTACATTTAATCCATATATTTATGTAACATTATTTTAAGGCCAGTTTAGAATAAGAATTTTATTCATATCTATTTATTTCATGTTTTATATTTTACTAAATATTCGTTAAATTTTTATATTTAACCTAACCAACCAAACGATACTAGGGGGAAAAATCCTCACTATTAATTAACAACTATTTAAAAATAATAATTTAATTAAGTAATTAAATTGAATTAATTCAAATTAAGTAATTATTAGTGATTAAAAATCCAAATATGTAATAAGTAGGTACATAATATTATTATATATATTGAATTTTAAAATATGTTTTTATATAGATTGTATAATGTGTATTGTATATACGTATTAAAGGTGTAATACGATTGCGACACCTAAGCTAAAACAAAAAGATTTAATTTTAAACCTATATATTTTTTGTAAGAGTTTTATAATTTAACCTGCCCTAACATTGACATTGAAATATTATCATTATTACTCCTAAAAAAAAAATGTCAAGGAGAAAATATATCTCCCTGATCAGCCCACTGGGTATCTAGGTAAATAGATGTCCAATAAAAGTATACCTATATCTTATAGTATTATATATTATTATTTAAAATCCTTCGGCTGAGTATTATACAATAATAAGAAAATCAAAACAATAAATTAGTGAATTAAGAAAAATGTTATAATTTATAATAAGTATTAAAATTAAAAAAAAGACGGGCATAGTTTGCACGTGGGTTCACCCACTGTTGTAGGTAAGAAGTTGGTAAGATAAGAAACAAACGAGAATTTAATGTATATCTGTAAGAAACGATAAACCATTGCTAAAGAAAAAACTATTCTGAGCAGATTTTAGTTGATAATGTTACTTTGTCAAGAATACAATATATAGTAGGTATATAATATATATCATATTATGGTAAAATGATTTCAAAAATGTGCGTTTCCGTTACAACAATGGTTGTTTAAAAAAAGAAAACCTTAATAATAACAAAAAATTATTAAAAACGGTTGCCAATGACAACCTTATTTTTAATCTTTCAATCCTAAAGAACCTAAAAAACTAGATTTTCTTCATTATCATTCATGTAAAAAAAAAATAAACATTATTATAAAACCAATACATTCTTCACTCCACTCAGAGTCCTAAACAATTGAAAATCTTGGTCAGAAAGCGTACCAAATATTATATTGTATTTCATTATTTTATTATACACGGAATCGTGGACGAAAAAGATATTTACAAAAAAAAACCGTAAAGTAACAAACAACTACACATTCAAGTCTCTAAATTGCCTACACAATACGCCCTTTTATTATTTGAATTTTATATCAAATCCTTTTCTTTTCTTTTTTTTTTTCTCATATTGATTATAAAATTATAGGTACTACATATACAGGTATTAATATTATAGATTTAACAATAAACACAAAAAATATAACAATATTATTTATTATCTGACATAAATCAATTTCAAATTGTTATTTACTAATTTTGAGCTATTTAAAACTATTTGAATTTTCCGAGTTTTAATTTTTATTAGGATACAAATTTTTTCACCACAATAATAATGCCTCAAAACTAAAAAAATTGATTCGCCATATATTTATATTATATATATTCGCCTATATTTATTTAATTCCCTTATCTATACATTAAATATATTTGTATATCCTACCGTCACGAATTCCTATCTATACAACAATAGCACATATGTCAGTTGTATCAGTTTTTTTTTAAACATGTTACGGTATACACTGGTTTACATACTATTTTTTATATCATCAAAACATAATACTGATGTGATAAAACAACAAAGACATTATCACACGCCAATGGAAACAATGTTGTTATGTTTGATCACGTAAAATCCGGAAAACCACAACCAATGAGAGGTGGCCCTTATACCGCTCCGAGGGTATATATGCCGGAGCAGCAACGGTCACTACTTCACTTAACATCCAAACCTTCAACACCTACATAACAGAAGATTTGGATACACTAAAACCACTGAAGACAACACGTCAATCAACCAAAACTATCCGCAGCAGCCGATCGTACCAATAGCCGCCAAGCCTACTGGCAATACCCGACCAGACCACCACCGTACAATTCAAGCTAATCCAGTCCTTTTTAACTCTAATAAAAGAACGTCATAATCGTCGGTGATGCGGTACGATGGAGATCCTGCCAACAGCATCCGGTGTACGAACTCGACTGCAACAGTCAAGCAATTCAGCCGAACACGAAGAGCCGGTCAAATACGGCATCCGCAATAACGACCACGATTAAAGCTAACCCAATCCTTTTCAGGACTTACTAAGGAACTACCTTAACTGAGAACCATCAATCTCCAGGCACCTCTTCTCACAAGGTTTGGCCCCCACTAAGCACGCTTATTTAAACCACATTACCCGGATGAAAACGTTACAGACGGCCACTTACTTAGGCGGGCATCTGCACCAATGCACCCTGTCTCGTATTGTATGATAAGAACATATTCCCTGGTCATTTGTTAATAGTTACCGTATAAGAATCGTCCAACTCGGCTCGCTTGGCCGAACCTGGTCAGCCAGTGACGGCCCTCTGATAACCACCTGTTGTTATTAGATATTTATTGAAATTAATAAATGGACCACGAGTAAAACATAAGAGTTACTTCACTTATTGAACGAGTGGGTGACCAGCATTCGTTGCCCCGTCTAAAATACTTCTTAAGTCAATGTAGAAATTACACATTTTCTCAATGAAACAATAAATAAATACACGATATTACAATGACTAATTTTTTTAATTCGAAAATTGTGATAAAACGTCAACACTTTACATTATATTTCTCGTTATAACGTTTTCTATGCCTGAACTGGGAAACTTTTTAAATGTATTATAGAACATAACGATAACATTCTAATATGTTTATATATGAATATGGTTTTTTTTTGTATACATAAAAAATATTTTATCGCCAATTTCCTATATAGGACGTGGACCTTACCAAACGTGCGACGGAGATATCTCGCTCTACCGTATATTTTCCTAGACGGGGTAAAACGTAGTCGACAAAAATAATAGAAAAATCCGAAGAACAGTTTGGGCGAATGGTCGGTAAGAAAGAAATCCCAGACCCTATTTGTTTATCCTGCAAGCAATTCATGTGTGTGACTGTACTTTTCTCACAATAACATATATATTATATTAAACACACATGTAAATGGTAAAATGGATGAACAGGACGATACAAATATTCGTTGGCTCTAAATTACACCCCCAGTAACTTTAGTGCCCCGCTTCAGCAACCGCCGTGACAAATACATACAAAATATTTTCGGTTCGTAAGTATTTTCGGCGTTTACGGGTCAAAGAGCAGCTGTTCTGATTTATCGCATTAGTTAGTTTAGGAAAACGCAAGCATCTAACACGGGAAAATAATAAAATGCGTACTAGCAGCGGAACGTTAAACTTTAAAATATCTTGCACCAAAGTTTCTTTCGGAAATAATAAAATATGTAAAATTCGTGATATTCATAATACTGTACACGATTCGTGAGTTTCCGAGTGAAAACTATAGCATCTACCTAATGGCTAGTATACACCTATTATTATGTTTAAAATCAAAACAGAGAAAAAATAGATTCCCTCAAAATATTCCAAGTTCAATCCCATGGTCAAAAAATCCTTATTCAAAATATCCCCAATGTAGCGTATCAACTCCTAAAAATGCAACAAAAGTTGTCGAGTATTTTTCATTTTACGCAATACATTTAGGAAAAATACAAAATAATGGAAAAATATTATCAATATTTTGAATTTGCATTACACCTTCAACTAATTGATATTAGGAATAAACAAGAAATTTAAAATAAGGGATATTCTCGACAGGGATGTTTTGAAGAGATTATTTTAACCATACTATATTTTAAATGACTAAGGAATAATTCTAACAAGGATAATTTAATGAATGAGTTGTTTTGAGAGTGGACCTTCAAAATAACTACAGAAATCTATAAATACGTATGATTTGCAGAAAAAAAAAATTATTGGAATTTTTACCTGAAGATGAATGATCGATAACAGCAATGAAGAAACATGATATACCCAAAAAAAATACGAATGTGGCATATAAGTCTTAAAAAAAAAAAAAACTACGTGATCAAAAATAATAATATTAATATAAAAATATTTATTCGAATTTTATTACATACTGAAAACAATTTAAATTTTTTTAAAATTATTTTATTTATACTATCCGAAAGCATACCACAAACACCAAATAATTGTAAACTTAATATGGTGCACACTATCTGATGCATGATCTAATGTTCACGTATGCAGACACTATTATAATAATCTATATAATACAAACATAATAAATAATGTTTAAAAACTTTGTTCTCAACTGTAGACTGTTGATTAGAAAATGTATAGAACTTTTTAACAAGTTTTTCCGTAACAAAAATAATTAATATTATACACAAAGTTATCAGAATTTCATGTCACAACTTTAAAAAAAAATGACTTAAGTAAGAAATTGTTAAAAAATCATATATTCTACAATGTTAAATTTTCCTTATTTTTACCATCCTAAACTTCAGGGGTGAAACCGCCACCAATTTTTGATTTTTAAATAGCAACCTATATTAAAAATTCCATAAATAAATTAAATATTTGATTAAACGTATATTGCTGCTGACATTTTTTAATTTCCGTTCACCCATTGACGATATATTCCACTTTTAAGTTTGAGTTGGGAAAGAATAGTGGGAATACTATTTAACCACGCCGCCAAACAAATAATACTCCAATACTCATCTCTTCCTATCCAATTTATGATTTTTAAACACCTAATGATATTATAAATATTAGTAAAAAATTCAGTTATTCTAAACTGAGCTATAAATGCACATAACTATATTAAAACGTACGACGACGTTCCGAAAAAAAAAAAACGGAAACTACATTACTGCGTATTATTAAACCTGACCAAGTAAAAAGAAATTTAGCAACAAGTGGAAAATATGGGGATTGTATGATATTATAGAGTGATAAGTACCATGATAGTCAATAAATACAATACCTAAGGTGTTCTATAAACGTTTTATTATTATTATTATTATTTAATTTGTGTCAACAATTTAATAAAAATAAAGTGATTTTGTCTACAAAATCTGAATGTTTTCTAAAAACTATTTGTTATACTTGGTAAAAAAAAATAGCATACCAATTTTATACGAAATAAATGAAATAATGTAGATTACATGTAAGAAATATAACTGATGAAAAAGAAAAGGTAAATTGTGATAGAAGACCGTAACAAATTTCACGAGGACATTTATTTAGTTGTCCAGAGTTTAAACAACTCAACTCAACCTACACACGCCTTCCTTTAACCACTTTATATCCTTTTGTCGGGAACACGTCGTTGTAAATGAACGACGAGAAACACGGCCAACTTAAATTTAAAGCCGTTTTCGACATGTTTTTATATAAAACCTAGAACACTCATAGTACGTATTTTGTATATCCATAAACATATTATTATACCATTGCAGTAATTTATTTTATTTTATAAAATACTAAAACAAACAAAATTCAAATATCTTTTAGTTATTTTATATTAAGCGTACTATAATGAAACTTTAAAAAGAAAAAAGAAAACATTTCATAATATTCTATCTACCAATATACATAATATAATATCATAACTATAATATAACTTATAATATCATAATACTAGAGCAAAAAAAAAAAATGGAAAAAAAAGATAGAAAATGTCACTCAAAATCCCGTTTCTGTTAACAGTTCAACTATTCAAAGTCGAACGACATTAATGTAAAGCGTCCAATAAAAATATTTTGTTTCTATTCGAATAATTTTACAAATTTGGCGAGTATAAAATTCAATATTTTTTTAAAAGCTTTTTACGACTCTTAAATATTAGAATTATATAATACAACAATATTATAGGATAATATAACTGCATTGAATAAAAATATGTAAATGTATATACACTTCTACTTGAACATTTGTTACTCAATTTTATATTACCTACATGAATTCATCTTTTTAAACCAGTGCTAAGATAATAATTAATATGGAATGTATATAAATTATACAGTAGAGGTATAACACAATTGTTATTACTATCAATTATAATATTATGGTTGAAATTTAAGGTTTTTTTTATATATTGCGGATTTATTTTTTTAAATCTCACTCCTCTTAAAAAGCCTAAACGCACCTTCCGTACGGAAAACATTGTTTAAAGGAATCTTTTATAAGTATAATTATATTACTTTCAAGTTGATACATATAAAAATAATGAACTAATAATAATCTGTCAATTCGTTCAAATAGATCATATTAAAACATCAATTAGTTTTAAAAAAATGGGTATACATAGATCAGAGGACTCCTTCCCCGAAATGTCTAAGAAATAATGGTTTTAAATAAATAAAGTAGGACGGGTTCTGGACTTTGGGATTAGTATTTATGAAAATTAGCTGTCATCCCCAAGCTGGTACCATTAGATTGTATTTTAAAGTAAGTAACATAAATTTACTTATAAAAATGCTTACGACGGGATCGCGAGATTGATTTGATATTGAACGAACTATTCAGGCGAAACATTCTCTCATTGATTCTCTGATTTTACACACTATTAGTGATTTTCCGATCCGCAATTAAATAGTTGGTTCAAAGCTTATATAGTACACTACTGTATACACCACGTATTCGTCTCTGTCACACTAAGTTCCTTGCCTCTCGTCGTACTACCCCACCGATATACTTTAATTTCTGCTCCGTCGAGTTTCAATCCAGAAAACGTTCACTTTTTTCCTTTATAAACCCGACCACCACCGCCGCCGGTTCGGGGTTTAAACCATAATCACGGTACATTAGTAGATACATATAATATATAATCACTGTTATCTATAAAACGGTATTAGTATATAGGTTTAAAACAACAACCGCGATTTACACAATAGTCAAAAAAAATCAAATGTCCTTTAAGAAGAACTGAATCAGTGTCATTAATTCACTGACATAAAATTCATTCCGATACTAAATTCAAATTTTAATAGTTTCAACTTTTTTCAGATTTTGTTTCTTATCACCAGAGGAGAAATAATACTTGCACTATTTATACCCGTATATGCTGTCTCATGTCCGATTGCAAACAACTTTATAGAACCGATATCTGATCATCTGTTCTGTAAAATTAAAAACCATTTTGTAACACGAATTAACGTTATCGTGTTAAAAATTGTTGAACTGATTTGAGTTGTGCGCAATAAATTTATCTAACCCAGGGACTGAAACCTAAAAAGACCGTACAGAAAAAGACTGGTTAAAGACCGAAACTTTCTGAAAATGACAAGACCGGAATCCTTAATAATTCTTTTTTAAAAACCGAAACCCTTAAAATCGAAAAGGTTCCAATCCCTGATCTAACCATGGATTATTCTGTAAATATTAGTCTTCTAATTATTAAATTATAATTTCGTTATCACGTAAAAACGAAATTTAATTTTCTTATTACTAAGACGTTAATCTGTACTGTGACATTAAACTTTATAAAATATGAATAAAAGTCCTTAATCGCCCTTATAAAACGAGTCTGATAAATACGTGATATTTTTAAATTTTGTTCAATCTACCAAGGTCAAGGCGGTTTAGCAATAGATCAAATACTTCGAGGACAAAATGATAATTTACATTTTAAAATGGCAATCAAACTTTTTATTCAAACTTCAAAGTTAATTAGATCTTCTTTACTGAGGCCAAATATATTTAACACACAGTAGATACATCTTACAGGTATAATTATATTCTACAATATGGTATAATTAATTATCATATTATTGTTATTCTGTTTCTAGAAACGACAATTTTGGACAACTTTCTTAGAAATGGGTAAGGGCTAACAACGTTATAAATTATAATGTTTTGTTTAATTCAAATAATTCAAATATTTTAAACAAGGAGGTACTGTGTACTAATCCTCCATTGCATCAGATGGTTCAACCGTTTGCATAGATTACTGCATTTTAAATTTGAAAAATATTTGTTTTACTTAATAAAAGAAATGTATGGTGCTTAAAACAAAAAATAACAATAAAAAATATATATTCAGACTTTATTGTATTAAAAAAAATAATAATAATAAATAATAATATTACATAAAATAAATGTACATTTTCTTTCAAAAAATTCAATGATATCTACTTAACTTGTTCAACAATTTATATATTCGCATAACAAACATGTCTCAAGGAAATTACATCTTTATGCTTGGAAATTCTCAAGTTCTTGTTCCCTGAGAACTATAATGACCGGAAAACACTAATTATCATTAGACATATATATTATGTATATAGTAAAATGACAATAAAACCACCGTGGAGAAACGCGCAAAAACCGCACGCAGAAGATAAATCAAGTGCACGACAACACCATAGCCGCCGATAAGGCTGCGACTGGATCAGATATTTTTCAATTGGATTTATTATCCTACACGCGTTCTTTTTGTGGTTAACACCCTTCAGTTTATGTATTGCAGCTGTAGTTATACATCCCCGTCGACTTACTCTGAAAATCCCGGTCGAGTACCTTCAACAATCGTATACGCTCGATATGGATAACAAACAAAAAAAAAAAACTGATACTGTGGACGGATGTGACACGATTGTACATGGGAAGTTGGGAAGGTAAGACACATAAAATTATTTAATTTAAATCGTCAAACAATGATAAACCATTTCTAATGAAAAACGATTCTGAGCGAAGTTCGATTATACACGTGGTATTTACAATTCTCATCAAAGCTGTGTATAAAATTTGCTTAATAACAATAGGTTTAAAGTATAATTTACAAACACCGAAAGCGACGATAAATTATTAGAAACAAAAAACGATTCTGAGTGGAACTTGGTAAATAATAATATAATTTTAAATAAAGCTGAGACTATAACGCCTTACAAAACCCCAAAAATACCGAAGACAAAAATATGTTTTTAATCTAAAAATTCGAAATAATGTGCCTATAAAATAATCTAAAAATGAAGAAAATAACTTAATGGCTTAACTGACATAAAACATGCAAAATAAAATTTCATATTTTCATTTCAAAATACCACATGAGACAAATTTTTAACGAAACGAACAAGTTTTTTAAAAAAATGATGCAAAGTGCATTGAAATCCCAGCCCTAGTTGAAATAGTATTATTCGCGTTGTTTCTGTTTGTATACATCGACAACACGATATAACGATTATTCACGATCGTAAACCGGAAATCAACAAAAATAAACCAAATTATCTACATATTTTTGTTTTCCTTTTTTTGGAAAAAAGTATTGAGAATTTCTAAAAATCGTTCAAATAAACTATACGAGAATAACACCATCGGTAGAAAATTAGCGTTCATTTTGAATAAACCGAAAAACTGTTTTCCGAAGAGGGAGGAAATACACATTTTTAATACGAGGTCTGGCTATTAAATAACGAGACTGCTTATGAAAAATGGTTTTATTTTAAAAATTATTCCACAACCAAATGTTCCCCTTCAATATACTGTCCTCCCCTCTTCACACACCGTTTCATTCGTTTCTTCCATTGCTCGAGGCAGTGCTGGAAGTCTGTTTTCGTAAGACCATTCAGGAGTTCCGCCGATTTTTGTTTCACCTCTTCCATCGACTCAAACCGGATTCCTTTTAAGGCAGACTTTATCTTCGGAAACAAGTAAAAGTCGCAGGGTGCCAAGTCGGGTGAGTAAGACGCGTGTTCGAGTACTGGAGTGCCTTAAGCGGCCAAATAACGCTTCACAGACAGCGCGTTATGGGCAGATGCGTTATCCTGGTGCAAGATCCACGACTTGTTTTTCCACAATATCGACCGTTTCTTACGAACTCATTCGCGCAATGTTGCCATAACTGTCAAATAGTAATGTTGGTTAACAGTTTGATCCTCTGGAACCCATTCAGTCATCACGATGCCGTTGATATCGAAGAAAACGATCAGCATGGTTTTAAATTTGGATTACGACTGAATTGGATTCCGGTGCACTCTCGACCTTCAGAAAATAATTTATGCCACTCAAAAACACGCGCCCGAGATAGGAAATTCTCACTATAGACTTCTTTTAACAACTTATAGCTCTCAGTTGGAGTTTTTTTTAGTTTAACGAGAAAATTTTACGTTTATCCATTGCTCATATTTTTCGTCACACATCGTTTTCGGCAAGAGAAAAAAACATGTTCGTTTCTAAACGCTACAGAAAAAATACTAATGCACCAACAAAAACCCAATTTTGTACTGGCATAATAGACACTTCCAGCTAACCAGCGCTGTATTCGGTTTTCCCCTAACCTTTTTGGGACGCTCTCTGCGCGCGCAGTCTCGTTAATTGATAGCCAAACCTTGTAATATTAAAAAGAATATTATTACAAAAATGTGTTAATACAAATTCATAAGTCTATACACGAAAATATAAAACCGATTGGTAATAGTTGCAATGCAATCACCATTAACTCGGTGATTGATAAAATCTGGTCCGTTATTCGGAGAGATAGGTACACAAATATTTCGGAATACACCACTATCAGAGCATAATTCCAAAATATCGGTAAATTTTCGCTTTTTCTATACTTATTTTTATAAGAGCTAGTTTAAAAAATGTTCTTTCATTCAGCTAATGGAAATAGCTAAACGTATTTTAATAGCAGTATATAAATTATGAAAAGATAATAATACTAATATATATTTATTTACTTATCATTAAACAGCTTCCAAATACCTAGTATAATATAGTCATTTTTAATTACATAAAAAAAGTTTACTTAGACCAAAGTTAGTGCCAGTGTTATCGACATTTGTTTTTAAATAAAAATAAAATATTCAAGACTCTTATACTGATTCCACATATTCATCATCATCTAACCATAATGTGACGTGTAATTTAATGATGAACCAACAAATATTTTTAACTACTTAGTTTGTAATTTTTAATTCGTATATTTAATTGTGAAAAAAATGTATGCATAAAAATATGATGTATTTCCAATTTAAACCGATCAAAACCACTTTCAGAAATGCCATTAAAACAAGGCACATGACAGCTTTTTTTGTGATGATTGAATTATTTTATTTTCATATGATACACTGCAAATTAATAAACTTAAAACATATTACATGTTGTTTTAAAGATACAAGCGAATTAAGAAATGTTTAATATTGGCTAATACTTTTGACAAAGTTTATAAGCTATTTATAGGGGAAAAAAAAATTAAAAATATAAACAGATAAACCTATATAATGAAATATAGAAATGTTTTTTTGAAAATTAACAAAAAAAATGTAAAGATATAAATTTACATGCAGTCAATACGCGCTTTAGGCTCACAATATTGCGACATCTAAGGGCCTTGGACCATTGCCCCTCCGGAGCCAACCTTCCTTAATCCGTGTTTGGGGGTGAGAGAGGAAAATCGGAGGAAAACCCTCGCGTTCTAACCAATGTCACGATAGAAACACTTCAGAATTCCCGGCATGCTCGCAGTACAAACAATAATTATTACGTAAAATAATACTCACATGTCATCGAAAAACCAGTGCGGTTACACTTTACACCGTGCCGCACGTGTTCGCGCCGTTATCCGAGTGAAACACGTTCGCGGAGACTATAATAATAATATTCAAAAAATCGCGTGTTGAAAAGGGCAAAGCCGAAAGAGAAAAATAAATCTCCGCGCGGATAATAAAATACTTGACACAGACCGCACGACACAGAGAAAAAAAAACCTTTTTTTGGAAATCTTAAATCGCCGGGCGACCGCGGTCGTGGTGGCGGCGAAGACGACGGCAGTAACGGTGGCGGCGGTGGTTGTACAACTAGGAAAACTCGGGCGCGGCGGAGGACCGGTGGATGTCGTCGTCGGCGTTGGCGGCAGCGACGGAGGGGGTCGTGGCGGTGGCGGTTTAAAGCGGAAAACCCGAAACGGTATACGCGGCCGAAACGGGTCGGAACGCGTCCTCGGTGTCAAACGGGATTGGTACGGCGGTTTGGAAAAAGACGACGACGACGGTGGCTGCAACCACGAAGACTGCGGCGGACGACACGTGGTACAATAACGGCAGACACGACGGACCGGCCGCCGGCGTACGTACGCGACTAATTGACACACTGCGTGTGTATAGTGGCTGCGGCGTCGTCGTCGTCGACGGCGGCGGCGGCGGCGGTAGCGCATGGCAAGTGGCCGCCCATATCGACCCCCATCGATTCTACGGTACACGGCACCCGCCAACGCTGCCACCGCAAGGCGGCGGCAGCAACGGCCCGGGGTGGCAGAAACCGCCTGGCCGGTGTAGCCGACGTCGCTGCGACCACCGGACCTACGGTACGGAAGCGTCTTCGCCGAAAACGGATGACGACCAGACGGCGGATTTCGGCGGATGGACTTCCCCTAGAAAGTCTCTCTCTCTCTCTCTCTCTCTCTCTGTACATAATATTATAATGTAAAACATACGATATAAAATATGCAGACCACGTGGGAACTAGAAAATCACGGCGACCCGACGCAAATTTTTCGAAATTACCACGTGTAGTATACGAAGTGTGATTACCAGAGTGGTTACTTTTCGGCACGATATGACGTCACCGACATGAAAAATACACGGCTTTCTGGGAGAAAATCAGTGTAAAATTTCAGTTACTTTTCAAAAGATGGAGTTATACACCTACAGATAAAGATATAACCAAGAGTTTACAAAAATAACTAGTTTCTTTTTTAACGATATACAATGTAACTGATGTTTTTTTTTTTTTTTTTGAACCTCCATTCACATGCTCAAGTCATCTAAAGTATAGATCGCTACATTTTAAAGACAATCTCATCGGCATTTTTTAAATAGGTATTAATCATTTAAAAAGTTATAGTTGTTTAAAGAGAAAAAAATTAAAATACGATTCTTTGTACCTAAAATGTAACCTTCAAAATTATATTGTTTATTAAACAAATAATGAAACAGTTTATCTTAACTTTTTTTTTAGAAACTTTTAAACTACCTATTATAATATAGGTTTAATTGCGTATAAAAAAAAAAATAGTGTTCATAAGCAATAAATTAAGTATACTTCTACAAAATAAACAATGGTGTATGTATATACTCGTATATATGTATGGTGTCACTCTAAAAGATATTAAAAACGTTAGGAAATTTTAATGAAATATTTCACTATACTAATTATACACGCAACGCTCTTAAAAGCTAAAATACAGGTAACTCTATACTCGTACTATAATATATTATATTGATAAATATATTTTGGAATTATTGTTCACAAAAAGGTGTTATTTACTTACACACGACCAGCGAATAAAAATAGCATAATATTAAAACAACCTAAATTTAAAAATACCTGTAAGTATACATATTTAAGTATTTTAATACAATATTATTTCACGAGCCGTTGTCGCAACGATAAGTTTATAACGAACAAAATTTATAAAATATGAGCCGTTACTGCTAATGCGTGTGCCACTGTTATTGGTAGCAAGTTGGGGAGATAGGACACACAGAGTCGGTAAATTTATATCTCTGTGCGTAACTATAAATCATTGCTTACGAAAAACGATCGGGACGTGTATATATACTATGTTATTATATGAAATAAAGGTTTAGAAGAACGGTTCCCAAAATGTGCGTCACGGTGTTTGTACAGAGGCACTGCTTCACCATTTTGAATATTTACTCATCTAAAAATCAAATTACAACGGAAACAGTGAGACCGGCGTCCTATTTTTCAGGGTTTTTCTCAAAAAACACTGTTTCCATTACGATGGTGTTTTGTAAAAATGACACAATACACCAACTATACACGCAACGCTCTTAAAAGCTTCAATATAGGTGGTTATTTGTACTACATATTATATTGGTAAGTACATTTTTTAAATATTTTTCACAAAAAGATATACCACTAGAAATCAAAAAATACGTTTTTGGTATCAAAAAATTCAGAAAAATTAGGAACATAAACAGTTAAAATGGCATATTTAAATACAGAAAATTAAGTTGATCATGTCGACTAAAAAATATTTAGGCGCCCTTTTAAAATATAATTAAATTAACAATGATTTGTTATAAGAGCGTATATTACCACATTTAATGCATGTATACTTTGTATACAAGGTATTATGTAATACATGATATACGTACGAGTAGTTTTATTGTTTTCCGTTAAAATCTATTTTTCTGTGTTTTTGCAAAACAGTTTTTTTTGCTTTCTGAAAAAACTTGAAATTTGATAAATGCCATTTTAACAAAACACCGTCGATTAGTATAAAAACGCCCCAAATTATTTCCACTGTACCTTAAAAGATATGGATGCCCAAAAGTACTTCATTTCAAAAAATATATACATCTAAATTCCCAACACTTTTTCTCTAAAATTAAAAATTAACAACGATAATTGTTGATACAGCCGTTTTATTTACCTTGGTTATCTTAGCTATACAATGGGATAAAAACCGCGAATAATACTACTCCGATCAGAATAGGGTTTTCGATTGCAATGATTTGCTAGGGCGCCCTGAGAAAACTACAGTCCAAAAAGGGAGCCACGAATCGATAAAGTTTGAGAAGCACTGGTTTAGAAAATTATCATCCCAAAATATGAGAGATAAAAAACGAAAATATGTTAACGTTAATTAAACTATCCCAAGGGTTATCGACTTTTACATTATGATCGGGACATAAATTTAAGGGCCGCTGTCGTGGCTGCGGCGGCATAAGTACTCCGATTGGTCGTATAAAAATAGAATTCTCGGAAAACACGTCTTCGACGGTACTACGGGTCTATGAACTGTAGTCGCGTCGGCTTTGAGAAGCCAATGTCGGGCGCTGATTATTCACTCGGCGGACTTCCAATAACTATTGTACTGCAGTGTCATATCGAAGAGTTGGAGGCGGGGGTATTTTGGTGTTCAAACGACCCCCCTTTGACCATATTTACCGAAAATTATAATTTTTACTACGTGCAGTTATACATCAAATGTCTATAAGATGCGTTGTATTATTAATAATAATAATTATTGAGTATATGTTATACATGTTATATGCGTACAATAAAGTTAAAATAAGTTACATCTAAACACAGAATGAAAACACTCCCCTAAAAAAAATCCTGGCTACGTCACTGTTGTACTGTTATTATTATTTTATATACTTTACTTAGCCGAAAGTTTGATTGAATTTTAGGGATGGGAGAGAGCTGCCTGTTATTTTATTTATGAAATACCCCCGCCCCCCCATTTCCGTCTATGAATATTGCTTTATCGTTTTAGTTTTCAGAAAAATAATGTTATTATATCCGCGACGTTTCGTTAATAACCATTTCGAAAATAGATCAATTGGCTGACGCTGCTAAACAATAAAACTAATAAAACAATATTACGTATCCCGAGATCATCGGCCGTGGTGGAGGGGTTACAGGGGATTTCCTGAAAAATTACCAAAGATTTCCATGATTACCATATATTAATTTGTACATTGATTTCCGTTAGTGATTTACCCTCTGCACACAACTGTACGTGTGTACTTCTAAGTAATACATCTTAACACGTTAGATAAGTATACATGTGAGACGAAAATTAAAAACGTACTTTTGCCAAAATAACCGACAAAAATTAAGTTCTAGATATTTACATCAATAATTAATATTAATTATAATAGTAAAAACGGCGTTGTAAGATTTTTTCTAAAACGTACCATAAATACCCATTATTTCACGTGTTAAGTTGATCTTAAGTTTCATTATAAATGGAACTATAACCCATAGTACATTGGTATTTTGTACTTCTTAAATCGTGATAACAATTATGATTAAATTAGCCACGGCCCATGAAGGAAAATTGTTCCATTTCACCTACTCTTCCTACCGTAAATACGCCACTGCACTTCTACTCATATTGCGGAAGTCACGTGCATTAAAAACCATATAAGGCCAACACTGAACCGGTGGGAACCGGTCACCGCCTTCACGATAATGTACGTTTTTTATCATAGAGATCAGTAGTTTTCAACCTTTTTGGGTCCATGGCTCTTCTGATTTTGAAAGCCAAATTAACGGATCCTTTGAGCCTTACAAATAATAATAATACAAATTAAAATAAACAAATGTACTATATTTACTATAGACATGACACCTTTGATAATAAATCATGACGCCCCTGAGAGCAGCGACGCACAGTTTGAAAACCACTGACATAGATGATAAATAAGAAAAATGATTTTAATATTTCAACCAAGTTCTAAAAATAGTACAGTATAGGGTTATTCAAAGTGCGTTGTGTTTGTTATCGCTAATGATTAGATGTTTAAATGTTATCGTCTTTCGTTGTTTCTTTCATTCTTTGTTAGACCAACGTTAACGTGAAGATTAAGTTAAAGTTAGCTCAAGTTGAATGCATTCAATTTAGATTTAAATTACTACTTGCCTTTAACGAATTTTGTTTCACAATAAATTCATATTAACTCAATGACAGTGAGCCTTTGGTAAGTGCTAAAGTTGACCACATATTATATATTATGAATACCTACCTACCTAATAATTAACAACAGAATAATTTGTTTGATAAATGAATAACATGATTCGTTTCATCAAAGCTCATCAAAAGAAAACATCACTATACTGAATTGACTAGTGTTTCAAATTCCACGGATTATCTACAATAATATTCAATATTCCATTTCATCTATACACCTACATCATTTAAATCTTCTCCTGGTTCTCCGGCATTAGTAAAACACAAGACAAATATAAACCTATGCAATTAACAGTTGAGGTAAGTGTACTTATATAGTTGATCTATATATAAAACTTAATATAAAAATTATATTATTATTTACTATAATAATATTATATAGACTACTTCAATTCCTGCTCAGTACCAACAATGGTAGATTTATATTCATAGACACAAAAATTAAATGGGGGTACTTATCTTAACCCATCTTATAATTAATTATTTATTTTAAGAGAAAAACAAATATGTGCCTACCTTAATCTAAATCCAATACTTTTTCTATTAACTAGTCATGGCTACTTAGACATTAGAAATTAGTTTATTTAAATTAAAAAAGTAGGCAAACAAATTGTTCATAAATAAGATAACCTATATTAATATTTAATTTGTATTTTTTTTATGTTAATGTATTTTATATATATTTTTTTTTAATTTATTTAATAAAGTGAATTAAATTAAAAAGATTAGTTAAGACTTATGTGGTACTGAGAAAAAGGGGAATAATGTTCTTACTTTTTCACACATATAATTGTTTAATACTAATAATTAAAAGTAGTAAACAATTAAATGTTGGAAAAATATTATTCAGTTAATAGATGTTTATACATCAACATTAGTTATGTAAATTTACAGATGTATATTATTCTACAATGTATATATTTAATTAAATTGTATATTTATTAGGCTTGTATCTATTATTATCTATTCTATTTAAGTTATACTTTTTTTTTTAAATAATACTTTAGATTGCCGAAGATTTTAAGATTGGTTATTCTCAAGTTAATATAAACTGGAACACATTTCTTCATAATTGGACAAATTTTACCAACATTGTTAAACTTAAGATGAGGTTCAGTAAAGGATAAACATGATTGTGGTCTTATATTCAAACATTATTCTGCCAAGTGAATAGAAGTGATATATATACATACAGTATATATTAATAATAAATTATATATCTAATAAAATAATTTCATTTTATTTTTTTTTTTTTTACATTGTGGTATGTTTTAGATTTTAGATTCTGTAATGTATTAAAATTAATTTTACTGTCATATTTTGTGGTAGCTAAAACGTAGATTAAACACATAAGAGTTAATGAACAATTATAGTCATTTTAGTTTCTACTAAAAGCTTTGAATATTACTTTTAAATTACACTTTATTCTAAATTGCGAGTATCCAAAACAATGCTATGAAAGTTGGCTCCTTTTGCAATTGTTAATTTATAAATTAGAAACATATTATAAGACTTCATCTTTTATAACGACAATTAAAGCTAAATTTTCTAGTTTATAATAATTTAAGTTACTTTATTAAAAACGTTCAATTTTTTTTTATGCCAAGAAGAAAGTGATTCTATTAAACAATGTATGTGACATTTGAAAGTATTTCATTATTTAGATTCGTAATCTTTAAATATATATTATGTAAACAAAGAAATTGTGTTTAGAATTGGATAAATTTAAAAAACATTTGAATAAGTTACAGCCAGTAATGGTACCTATTCAGAGACAACTTTCTTTAAATTTCCAGCTATCATGTTGCAGTCAAATATGTCTGTGATTTTATGCATGATGTAGTAAAAGACATAGCTCGCTATGATAGGACTCTTATTGAATTCAATGGTAGCAGAATATAATCGTTTATATTTAATGATATCTAAAAGTACTTTAAAGCCTATATATTATCATTCTATGGTTCACTATGGTCAATTACTACTTAAAAATGGACCAATAATCCTACCGCTCGGAAACAAAATTATTAATTTTTATCTCAATTCTTAATCTTTTAATAAATTATTATAACAGTTATATTAACTAAGTCTATACCAATTTTATAGGTACTTTTGAAACCACTCACTCTGCCGCTAACCTAAAATTAAAATGAAAACGACAAGAGTGTAGAGACTGACCTGTATAAATGGCGATAAGTACAATTCCGCTAACCGCTTCATCTGGATGATTTTTTATGTCTGTGAACAACTTTCTACCGGAAATCTTGCTCTGATGTATTATAAAGTTCTTTACTGGAAAAAAATTTTATTTAGTTGGTGGTCAATATTTTTCTATTGAAAATCTTGTCCAAATTTCAAGAATAATACCTACATATTTTCTGAAAGAAATTTTTTTTCTAGTTTGTGGGTAAGATCGTTTGGTTTTCCATGTAGTTTCCTTAATTACGAATAGTCCCGAATTACGAAAAACCGGGAAAGAACGTAGAACATACTGTAAAGCGTATGGCATTTGGGTTTTTTTTATTTTTATTTGGTTAAAAATGATTGTAGAGACCTGTAGTTTTCACAAAATACTTATATTAGTCTTTCGTAGACGTGATAAAATGTTCAAAACATTATGACAATTTTCAAGCTATTTATAGGTAGGCATTTAATATTTTCGTGTTTTTAAGTATATGTATTTTTATTTGGTAGATAGGTATCTATTGAAATTATGACTTAGAGAAATGCTTGGATTTTAACACAGGGTTCAACATATGTAGTACTTGGTGATCAAAAAAAACAAATTTGAATTTAATGAATCGGTTGTTTCTTTTTCATAAGCATTTTATAATCAAATTTTGACGAAAATCGTAAAAATCATGGCGCATTTCAAAATATGTCTTGCCTACCGTAAGTAATTCGCTCATAATTGTATTTCGTTAGCTACGGCTCATCAACAGATATCAGATATTAATTAAATAACATTATATATCCTATATTCTCGACTTCTTACCTACAACAGTGACGCACGCGCACCCGTCAGACTACAGGTATACGCGTTTTTTTTTTTCCTTTTACTGCGGTGCGTACCGTACGTCGCAATTGTTTTTCACTAAGATCAGCAACGGCATCCGGAGTAGTATTGTAGTAAAAATATAGGTACCGGTGACAGTGAATATCAGACAATGACGAATTATTAATTATTATTATACGTAATAAAAATAAAAAATCGTAACGGCTGTGATTTTGTAAGTTCCGTCAGTTCCGAGGTACGTTCTCTTTAGACATCGTGGTATACGTATTTTATAATACAATTTTACCTACCTAACAATACTGGTTTTGGTTTAACCGCGGTTCTGCAACGAACTGCGGTTGGCCCTCGAGCGATGTGACCGTGTTCACCGTTAAGTTTCGTTTTTTTTTTTTTTTTTCCATGACTCGCGGCCATGGCCTGCTAAAATAATATTAATTAGGTACAATGTACACGAAGTTTAACCCGGTCGCTCGGTGTGTTTCACCCGGTACATACAATATGTGTTGTTAAATAGGTAACCTTATCGAAAAAATATTGAAGCTCTCATCGTGGCAATGCGCTTCCCATTTGATCATTTGATTGAATTTGGTTTCGTTTACGCAAATCACAAGAGAAATCAGAGATTTTGTTTTAATGCACATGGTTGTTGATATGTGCATTTAAGGGGATGTATCATAACGAACTAGGGGTTTTTGCCTCGTGTGCAGTATGTTACTATGCACCTACCGGCACGTAGCTAGGATTTTTTTTGGGGGGGGGGGTGCGGGGAGGAGAAGGTCCAAACATAAAATTTATCACCAACTACCAATTATCTGATTTATTGGTGAGAATCTTAAATTTCGGGGGAGGGTGTCCATGAGGTCTGGATGCCCCTGGCTACGTGCCTGTGCACCTACGTACTATTTTCGTTTATTGCGAATACGTCATTTACACATTATCCTAATTCCTAATACGGCGGTTTGTTTATCAGATTGATGCTTGTTTAGCCACGCATTTGTAGGGCAGCAATACGAAAAACTGATATCCCACTGCTGTCGGTTAATAAGAAAAAAAAATGAGTTTAGCCACACTTTCCTGTTAGATATTGGGTTGTTGGATAGTACTACGATGATAATATTATTTCAATCTTTTCGTTTTTCATTATAATAATGAACTATTTCAAACGAAAAACCATTCTGAGTGAAGTCATACCTAATCATGTGTTTATTAACTGAAACTGTATTAAATTGTAACTATAAAATAAATTAAAATTACCTATCAGTGTTTTTTAATCTCGGATTATTTTTAAAAATACTATGCCTAACTACTCATATATAGAAAAATATTAGGCACCTAGGTAATTACGCGAAATATTGTAATTTTTATGATTTTCATCGAAATTTTAATGATAATTTAATTAATAATTTTTAGTCCATAAGAAAAATTTAATTTAATCAAGTTATGAGCTCTTTGGATAAGATAAAAAAAATATAATACACGTAAATACCAATAAATAAAAAAAACTTAACAATTACAAAAACTATAAATAGATAACTTAACAAATTTTAAATTTGTATCACGTCTATAAAGTAGATATTAATATAAGTAGGTATTCGGTATTGCCCAATCTTTATTACGTACATTTTTTCGTTTTTTCCTCATTATTAAGAACAAATAAAATCTGCCATTTTTCGGTTTTCTCTCCTCGATTCACCTGCAGGGCAAAATTTTCTACCATGGTTTCTATATCAATTTTGAATGGAACAGAATTTCATTCCTCGCTATACTCAGAATAAAGAATAAAAATCTCTCCAAAAAGAAATTTAGGGTAGTGTTAATACAGCAATTTTGAGATTGTTAGAATAAAATATAAAATGTACAAATCTAAAATTAAAAACTCTCATATTTTTAAATAATAGGGGTAGATATTTTTGAAAATCTACAAAGAATAAACATAGAAGAATTAACACGAGTCTAAACCATACAACATAGTCTGCCTCACCACACTATAATAGAACTTATTTTCAAGTTCTATTAGAATTCTGTTATTACATAAAATACCTGACGCTTCTCTTCACTTAATCCAATCATTGTTAATCCTCCTGTTTCATATCCTCTTCAAAGCCTCTGTTATTCTGTACACAAATTCTAGGTACTTAACTTCATCTATTACATCATCTGTTAAAACCATTACTCATCTTATACTGTCAACAAATTGTCCTCTTCCTCCAAACACATATTCAATATACTTGGGTACTCTTTTTTACTTCTACTTACCCTTAGTCTTTTTCCTTCAAGCACTACTCTCCATAATATAAGTTTAGAAATTTTCAATAATTATCCCACAAAATTTGAGATTTTATTTTTTATTAATATACAATATATTTACTAGTAGACATAAATAGTATATTTGATATATATTTTATACACAGATACACAACATAAACAAAACTAAGTACGCATTATCTCTTAAAAATAATATTATTAATACTTATAAAACAAACTGTACTATAACGAAATGGTTCACCAATGTCTGTCATAGATACGCACTACTACCTCTTTGAACTAACACATAACTTATTTTTGTTGATCCATACAATAATACTCGTAGTAATTAATATCTATATGTTATAATAATATTGACACTATAAAGTGTTGACAAGAAGTGATGCACATATATTTACGTCTTAGGCATCAAATAATACATTTAAAATAATACAATAATAATTATTCATAATACTGGTAGCCTATATTCTTATAGCAATATTATTCTTGATTTTTATTTTTATTTTTCACAGCCCTTAATTTTAATTAAATTTAAAAAAAATGGTTGACTAACTGTTAAACGGGTAAACACAAGGTTATAAGAAAATATCAAATGGTAACATAGATTTTACTAATTTAAAAACAAAATATAATATTATTTATCAAGTTGTATGGCTCACTAGAATATGTTATATAATTTTTTTTAAATTTGATTTGTTTTTATTTTTCAAATTGGACATGACAGTTTATGTAAACATTGAGTTTGAAAAAATTGAATACCGATTTCAAAATGACACAATAACTCTACATAAACACTTTAAACGTGAATTTATACGGTTATTGTAGTACACATAAACATATTAAGCCAATAAGGACAAAATATTGAAAATGTTTCAATAAATTAATAAAAATGATACTATTCATAATATATATGTGAAGTTATTACAAAAACGATAGTATTTATAGATAATAATATAAAAGTAGCCGAGTATATAAAAATGAAAAATAAAACATAATACATAGAGGCATGCCAAATGTAAGATATAGAAATGTGAAATAAAAAAAAAACAATAGTGCATCCTAGTGAGTCGTACAAGTTACACATTAGTTTCAACAAACAAAAAAAAAACATGTATATATTAATATTTATATAATAGATCTATGCTCATAGATGTTAATACTAACCAACAATTCCTGTTACAATATATTTAAATGTTAATAACAATAATTAAGATAAATTAAAATTATGAAAATAAGAAATGGAAATTTTGCATAAGCACCTATATCAAAATCTAAGGTTTCATTATTTCCACGACCACCAAACAAAAATTATGTACATAACATTGTTTTAACAAATTAAAATGTTGACAAGGAATCTAAGAATAAAGAATATTGTATGAATGGAATGATCAGAAACAAATATTAATTAATGTTGTTATAAATTTAAAGTGCTGACAAATAAATATTATTTTAGTTAAATATTGGGTGATTGATGAATTTCCTACCCACCTCTGCTAATAAATGCCTACAAAATACAATTGATTATTTCGCGATACATGGATAAGTTATCAATTAATAACTATACAATATAAAGCTAGACAGTTATTTAAACATATATAACAACAATTTGTCACAATACAAAAAAAGAATATTATCAAAAATAAGCAAAACAAATATCCATTATAAACTTTAAATAATTTTTTGTTTACACTTGAACATAAATATCTTTTGAGACACTTATATGGGAACATTTATAATAGATATGAGTAATTATTATTAAAAAATTGATTTGAATTACCAAAAAATAATTATTGTTATCGTCAAATCTATTAAAATGTATATAATAACTATACAAAAATTTGTTTTTTTTTTCACAATTTAAACTTGTTTATTTAATATTTTAAATAGTTTTGTGACTTATATTTTGATAATACACTTATTGGTAATTAACTGACACATATAATTAGTTTTTAAACAAAATACATTCAAAAAAGCGCTTAACATTTTTACACAAGTTTTTATAATAAAATATGCACATTTTTCAATATTACATTGGCTTTAGAGGATATATTTTTAAAAATACTATTAAATTACATAAGGATCAAAACAAATAATTAGGAATTGAAAAAACATGCAAATAAATATACAGTAATAAAATAAATGTAAAGAAAAAATAATAATAACGCGAGGAAAACTCAGTAATAAATAATTTAGGTAACAAAAACATAATATCATAAATGAATGGTCATTGAACTATGTATAAAAATACAAGTATAAAACAATAATTTGGTGATCTCATTTAGAGGGAACTTCATAAAGGATTCTGAATTAAGATTGGAAAAATAAAATTATTCAACTAAAGTAGCTGGTCATAAAAAAAAGTAGTTAAAAATATAAAATAAACACAGACACAGAAATATTTTTTAAAGGATACTGGAATACTACCGCCAACATATTAAATCGGACAAGATATTAGCATAATATGGCCAAGCTGTTAGATAAGCTAGTGTTTATAAACTCAGATTAAGTTAAATATAATAAACAAATAATATCACAAATGTTTAAAATAATGATGGACACCGGGTCCAATCTTGCTTTTGCTTGCACTCCCAATACTCATGTGTAAAAGTATAACAAGGTTTATTTGTCCATTTGCACACATCACGTTTAAACCATAGAGGTTTGACAGCACTATTCACATTTTCATCAAAATTTTCATCATCATCCTCTTCTACAAAATAAAATAATATCATGTGATTTTATTTAATCAATTATTCTAATAATTGTTTAATAACCTCTGCATTTAAAAAATATCAAAAAGAAATTATGTTACTAATATTTAAACTATAACAAATTTTAAATAATTTGTTATACCATTTTCATTGATATTAGAATCAGTTACTGCAGCATTTGTTCTGCGATTTCGATTTCTTTGCATTTCTTCTAAATTCAATTTCTCAATATTAGCTTCGTCCCAAAGACCAAACTCCATCAAACGCTGATCTGATCGATATCTTGAATCTGTGGGTGCCACGCCTTCTTCCATTTCATTCAACTGACTTGCTAACACAGTGAAATTATAGTATTTTTCATTGTCAGATCTACATTTACAAAAAAAAAAAAAAATTTTTATCATATCCTATTTTCATAAATAATTTTTAACTAAATTTGACATGTTGCAATACTTACGGAGGTATTTGTCTATGCCAGGCCAATATATAATTTCCAGTTTGACAAGTTGGACTTTCAATTGGACCTTCAAATTTAGTAACAGGAGCTATTTCAATTTTATTGTCCCATGTTCCATTTACTACCCATTTAATTTCATTATCTTTATCAAAAACATATCCTTTTACCTAAAAGGAAATGTAAAAATTACACCAATTAACTCACAAAAATTCACACTATTTCAACAACTACCTTTCTCTGTTGATCTCTTGTGAAATAACTGTAGGGTATGTAACTCAAACGGCATTTAGATCCATCTTTATGATTGGTTATTGTCATGTCACCAGTTTGATCAACCCATAATTTTCCAACAATTATATTATGAACAGTTGTGGTTACTTTGGTCCAAGTGTAATGGTTCCCTATGAATAATACAAAAATTTGTGAAAAATCGAAACCCATAATACCTAATAATGAAATTTTAAATGAGCTAAGTAATTTTCAACTAACCAGATGATGGAAAATCAAGGTGAGCAGTACCATTGGGAATGGCTTGCAAATATTTTCCACGGAATTTTGATGACATTGAAAATTCTTGCCAACAAAACCATTCTTTACCAGAACAATATTGTGCAGAAATCGGAGGATGATGTGACACCTATAAATATTTGATTTGAATGCAAATTACTGATAATAGGTATTGATATTTAGATAATATGTTTACCTGTTCGTTAAATGCCTTCCAACCAAGGTCTGCCATTCTATCACATTCATATGTCTCTCCCAACAAAGGATTAAAAGGTTTACTTGTCCGGTTGACAGTAGTAGAATAAGAAGATATTGTAAACGCAGCAACATAGGCTAACTGCTCAAATGGATCTTTACACTGAGCAGCTGTGTCCAGAATACTTGAATATTCAAAATCTTCAGTAATTCTTTGAAGCATTGATAACGGTTCAGAAAAATTTACCTATTAATATATAATTGTATGTAAAAATGTTATGCTAACAAAAAAAAAGTCAATAAAATACCGGCATTGGTATTTTAGATAAATCTTTTCCGATGCAATTTTTCAAAATACTCCAAATATGTAATGGATGATTGGGCTTGTCAGGCACCCTACATCTCCGTTTGTCTCCTGGTTTTAAAGGATGTTTAATGACATCCTCAAGCATTTTTTTTGCATGTTCAGAAAGCTCAGGAAACATTCTAGAGGATTTATTGTTCTCATCCTAAAATGAAAAAAAAACAATAGTAATATGAATTATAAAAATAGCTTTTAATTGAGGCTTTGATTGATATTTTATTATAATGTATAAATCATGATTTATATAACTGTATTTAATCTGTGACGCTTGCATATTATACCATACAATAATAATAGAATAATAATAATTATAATGTATAAAACATACACAATCAGATTTTAAACCAGTTGACGAACAAATTGCTGCTGTTAAAATAGCTGATGATTCGGCAGGATCATCAATATCACTACTAGAACCTCCACTACAATCTAGTTCTTCATTTACTAATTTTTCTAGAGCCTGGAATGTTCGTTTATTTTTTAATGTTACAAGTTATTTCAATAAAAACTAATAAAAATACCTGCGTGCTTGAAAGAGATTTGTGTTGCAAAATATTTGGAGACTGATGATTAACTAGATAATTATTAGAAGTTAAATCAAAGGTATCACCACCTTGAGCATCAAAAAATTCACAGCTGTCTGAAGCATCATCATCATCATCAGTAGAATTACCTTATATCATAATATTAAATTATTATTGTTAATAATAAAATTAATACTTAATATTATTAATGTTTAGTACACAAAAACAATATATATAGTGAACAGCTGTATTCTAAATGAAAACTTTATAATAACGTGTATTAAATTATTATAATCAATAGTATAGTTATGTAATGTTACATACTGCATATTTATGACACAAAAAAATTAAATATTATACAATTAAGAGGATAATAAAAAAAATATGCTATCTACAAATGATGAAATATGAAAATTATAATAACAATAATAAACAAATATGCTTGATTAGTATATTATAATATACTTGAAAAATATTTTACTGTTCTATCATACATATATTTTAAAATATTTGTTAAAAGTATTAGTTAATAAACACAACTTTGTTTAAGTAATTGATTTTGAGGTTATCATATGACACAAAGTGCGTAAATATAACCTTTAAATTACCATTATAAGAAGTAAACATAAACATAATTAAAATGTTATGATTTATGATTAATCTAACATAGAATTATAGTAATCATAAAAATAATAATTAACAATTTATAAATTTAGATACTGGTTTCTTTTTTTCTATTTAAGTATAAACTAAATCAAACAATATAAACTACATACAACTTTTCATAAATAATTAAAAAATTAATATTGTTTGGATAAAGAAGAAACTAAGGTAACCAAGTTTAATGATTATTGACCTATCAGTTTGTAATTTTTTTTATTATTATTTAAAGATCATGTATTATAAGATTAAATTGTATCACAAATATATTAAATATTATGAAAAAATAGTTTTTTTTAAAAAAACATATGAATTTTTTCTGGTCTATTTGACCTATATATAAGAAGGTATAAATGGATTTTACTTCAATATTATATAATATTTGCCCCATCGAGGGGCAAATAAAGTCACAACTTTAAACAATTTAAAAAAATTAAGAATTTTTAAGCATATCAAATTTCCAAGCATTTCTGATCTGCTAAAACAATTTTATTCAAATAAAACCTATAAAACCTTTACCTAAAACCTTAAACTTGAAAATATCAAATTCCTAAATGCTAAATAACATAAAAATCATCAGAATATTTTACCACTAATAGAAAAGGCCAATTTAAGTACTCTGTTAAAATTACAATTTCTTACAATATTAATTTTAACCAAATTACAAAACAAACAAAATCAAAAATAATGATACTATGATACAGTGTTCTGTAAAATTTCTCGTTTTTCCTAAATGTTTTTTTCTCTGGTTTTCCCAATTCTATAATGAACTGGTTGGGATAAATCAAGAAAATAACCTTCTAATGCACAAGCTTCATCCAAAATGCTACTAAAATAATTTTTTGTTATTTTTTTGATTAGAGCAAGATTCTGGTAGAAAAATGATTAACACCAGAAAAAAAAATTATACACATTATAGTAAACCAATACATTTCTTGCTGCACTTAGAGTCTAAAAGATGAGCATATTAATTTTAATAATTAAGTACACTTATTTTACACAATTTTAAATGAAAATTAATTGAAAAAAATTGAAATTATAAAAATCATAAATGTTATAGGTATTCTACTTTTTAATTGCTTGTAAAAACATTAATTTAATTTACATTCTGTTAGCTATGGATAATAGATTTAAAGTAGATTTTAAATGTTGTAATATCTAGTTGGCAATTATAATACAATGAGTCAAGTTGTTATTTTAGGTATTAAAATAAATAAATTCAATCTTATAATTAATCAATGTTAGTAACCTAAGACATAATATTATTATGAATTATGACTAAAAGTAATGCTATGCAATATTACCAATGATGAATTCAACAAACTTCTACGCGAGTATATAATTTTACTCAAATTATTTAAAGTTATATTGTCTTATTGGTTTAAAAAGTTTAACATATAATATGAGTTTACATAAACAGATCATATTATGTTTAAATTATTATTCATTAATTAATTGATTTAATTTCATTTTTATCAAACACAAAAAAAAAAGATAACCTCTTCACTGTAAAATATATTTGTTTATACTAATGTCTATTATATTTATTATTTATATTATCAATATTAATTACCTTGTTTGTCGCTATTAGCTACATGCTCTAAAACAGTCTGTTCCCTAGCAATTTGATCTACCATTTCGACCAATTGTATACGTTGTCGTCGTTCGTTATACAACATCTTTTGCCATTTATTACCCTGACTTTGAGCCAAATCTAAATACTCCGAACAATTCTAAAACAAGTCATAATTGTACAATAGTTAATAGTCTGTAATAACATACAACTAATATAATAAATGATAAACATATTTTAAAGAATATTTGTCAATACATTAATCAATAATTAGTATAGATTTTTAATTTTAATCTAAATATACAATATAATATTTATTAATACTATTTCAAATAATTGTATTAGTGTTACAAGCAGAATGAAACTTATTTTGCACTAAAGATAGGTCACTGTTGTAGGTAGGAATGTAGGGTATAGGGAAGTTAGATCAATCTGGTTTAAATACTGAATTCAACAATAAAGGATTTTCAGTAGAACTTAATTAAACATCTTTTCAATTGGAAATTGTATTCATGTAATCAATTAAATTGTTACAATTTTTCATTATTTTTACTAAAAACAAAAATTAAAATGTACAAAGAGTAAAATTCTAATGGCTACAAAAAAACTCCCAGACATTTTTTAAAAAAAAATATGCATTAAATTTCTATTTTTTAACTCGTCATACAGGGTATATAATTACCCCAAACATTTTAATAATGTGTATAAAATATATAATATAATATGTAGATATATGACCACTTCAATAGCTTCAAATATAACATCTAAAAATTGTCTGTTATTGGTTTTATCTTAATTCTGTGTGCTGTGTATCATTGAAAGCCTCATTAAGTCGCTATTGCCCTGATCAAAAACTTATTTGCCTGTGTGACCGAAAACGGACTGATAAGCATGTGTCCACAAAGTTACGCAGATGAATGTTATTTATTTTTGTATACCTACTAAATTGTAATAATAATTATTATGTAATCATGATGTCAAATATTAATTGTAATGACTTGCATTTTTAGATTTATTATAATTTTACAAAATACTGACATTAAAAATAAAAATATTTTTATAATTACTCTGTATAATGTAAACTTTCTTTGTATATCATCAACATATTATTAAGTACATAATACTAATAAAAGTACAATACAATTTTATCATAATAACCAGTTAATTTTATCGAAATAGGTTATATATTAACAATAATAAAATAATGTTGATAAATATTAACCCCGTGGGCGTAAATGAGACATCTAAAGCCGTACACCTTACGAAGTGTTAACAAGAATAATTATTTTGTTAAAAATAATATTAAGTAAGAATAGTGATTCTGGTTTTGGCCCGACTCGTTTTCATAACCTTGGTAAGAACAATAATTAAGAAGGCCATAATTAAAAATGTAAATACTTGCTCATATTGAACTATTTATAAAACTTCAAATTAGGAAATTAAAAAAAAAAAACGCTATGATACTGGAGACGAATGCGGCCACTGTTGTGGGTAGTTGAGAAGGTAGGATACATAAAGTTATTTAATTTATATCTATAACCAACAATAAACCATTAGTAACAAAAAATGATTCGGAGCCAATTTCAGTTACACATGTTTTGATAGGCCATAATATTACGATTTTCGACAAACTTTGGTTTTAAATATCTTATATAAAAAAAATTAAAAATACAACCCTACTTTTTTTTTTTTAAGTAAAAATTACAATGAACATTCTGTCAAATTTCCAAGCATTTCTGTTTAGACTAACAATTTTATATACAAAGTACCTATGGAATAAGTAATAACCTTGCAAAATATAAGTGTTTATAAATAGTTCAAAAATGACTCAAATATTTCGAAAATTATTCACGTCTGGAAAACACAAATATAAGTTTTCCATTAAATTTTAAGTCATTACAAATAGTTTTAACTGAATTTCATTTAAAAAAAAAAAAAAAAAAATTTATAATAGAAGAATTATTTTTGTAAATTTTTTTGCAATTTCTATGAATTTTTTGTTTTTGTTCAATTATTTCAAAATCTATATAAAGAAAATCAAAAATGACTTTCTTGATCACAAGCTGAATTAAAAATTCTATAAAAATGTCTCTTTTCATTTTACTATTGGAGCAATTTTCGGTATAAAATATAAGCTATAACAATTTTAATTAATAAAATGGTTGTGCCATAATTATTTGAAATAAATTATATTTTTTGTCTTTTTTAGTTATTTCCGATTATTATGAAAAATACTTTAGATATCAAAAACTGACTTACTTTTAGTCAGTGATTATATATTATAAAGTAAAAAATTGATGTATTTTCATTTTTCAATTGGAGCAAGACTTCTAGTAAAAAACATAATTTGCAAAAATTAAAATAATAAACTCGATCACCACATTGCCATAAATATTAATTAATTAAAATTGTTTGGTTTTTCCATTTATTATGAAAACTACTTTGAATATCAAAACGCGAGTTTTTTTATTCTGTGGATATGTATTAAAAGGAAAAAAAACCAATCTCTTATTATTTTTTGATTGGATCAATATTTCTGATAGAAATCATCGAAAACGGTGAAAACAGTAACGCCGCAAAGCACTGTAAATATTTGACATTTTACCTCTAATTTTCTTTTTGGTTTTTCTTAATTATTTTGAAAACCTATTGGATAATTAAAAAATGATTTCTTTTCAGTAAAGGTATTATACTACTCTATATTTTGGAACAAAATTTCTTGTAGAAAAGTTGTTTACAAATACAAAAAATAATAATAATCATTGTAAAACCTAATAGATCTCTCGCTATTCTCCGAATTTAAAAAAACTGATACTGCTGATGCGTCACTGTTGTAGATGATTAGTTGGTAAGTAAGATATATAAAGTTATTTAATTTAAATTTTCAAGCAACTATAAACCATTGCTAATGTAAAATGATTCTGAGTGAAATTCATTTAAACATGATTAGAAACCAGTGATATTTACGATTTTTATCAAAATATGATATTAAACCATTATCAAAAAAAGAAATTACTACACTTTAGTTTTTTTTTTTTACCACTAATTACAACTTATAATAAACATCCTGTTAACTTTTTAGCCATTTCTGTTCATTATCATAGTGTCTATCAAATAAAAAACTCGCAAAAATAAAATACCTATAAATAGCTTTAAAATTAATTTTAATAGATAAGTGAATTGTAAATTAATTAACATTAAATACCTAGATAAAAATAAATTGAAAAAATTATAACTGTATTTCTTTATACTTATCAGCATAATATGTAAATATGTAAATTGATATTTGTTTAATTTTTAATTTATTAAGTATAAATTAATTTGTTTATAAAATACTTTCTATTTTTTATCTGGTAGAAACAAAAATAAATAAACAAACAAGCACTAATAATAGTCTGTGAATACGTACAGTTACCATACCAACAGAAGCAATACGAATCAAATTTGCACGTTCCATCCATGCTTTTATTTTTGTAGACACATCAGGAGGTAAATCTATTGATTCTAGTTCTGTTAAGCACCGTTGAAGAGCTTTGCTATGTTTGGATATGATTTCACTTTGTGAACGCAACTCTGATAGTTTTTTATTTAAAGATGACACTGCTGATGTAACTTCCAAATTTGTATTCAATTCCTTTTCCTTATACCTGTCTAAAAACAGTTTTATAATTTAAAAAATTATTTTAATATATAATATTATTACGTACCAAACTATTAGAAATCTTTAACTTAAATAGATGAGTAACACATAGAAGCTAAAAATTATTCTATTATATGAATGTATTTAATACTTAATATGGCTAAAATTTATTTTAAAAAATAGTTGTTATTATAATTATAATCTTAATAACTGTTAGTGTTTACTACACAAGAAATAAAGCATTAATATTTGTATATTATGTATCATTTATTTTTAGAAATACTATTTGTATTTTATAAATACCAGGATGTGTTTGAACAATTTCACGAGCTTTGGCCAACTCCAATGCTGTAACCCATCTTTGACGTTCGACTTCACTAGTGGCACGAAGATGAAATGTTTGAGCACCTCCGTTCGATATAACAATGGTGCATGAATCTTCTGTGTGTATAGTAGCTCCATGTAAACTAATCGTACCACGGCATAGTTGTGAAATTTCAGCTTGAGTTCTAAAAAATTATATATGTAGCAATACAACAACAACAATTTCTTATCTATAATAGGATAGAAAATAATGTATAGTGAAAATACAGTAAACATCTGTATGCGACTTATGAACCATGGCATAGTCTCCATAAATGATTATATAAATAAAATATTACTTAAAAATATAATAATATTATTAAAAAATTAATATGTTTTATAAACACTATTAAAATGTAACTAACTCTGATGCAGCTTTTTTTGTGAAATATTTATGTATCTATATATATATATAGTAGATATGTATATGAAAAAAATTACAAACTTTTTAAAAGAAATTATTATTCATACCAATTAATTAATATCAACATTTTTAAGTTACTCATTGACAAGAAACTATATTAATTTTTATAAATCTATGATTCACTACAATGTATTACTTTAATGAATAAATATTCATTAAAAGAATTTACTTCATTTTTTTACAATTAGTTGTATATCCAACAAAATCTCAAGTAATTTTTATTTTTGTGTATTCAAACAATTTTTTTATCAAAAATTGTATAAGAACTATCTTGTTGCATTTTTGATCTCGTTGATGCATTAATGAAGTCATTTTTTTTTTGCCAAAGTTTTGTAAAATGTGTTAAAATAAACAGGTTTTACTGGGTAGCCAATGATTCATAATATATTTTTTATTATATCTAACTAGGTATCTACGTAATTCCATTAATCAAGGTAGTTTTTATTGAAAACAAAATTAAGTGTTTAATTAACAAAGTTTAGAAAAAAACGAATTTGTCATTGTAATTTAATAATCAGAGGACGATTGTTTTAACATCAACCTAAGATACCATCAATCAAATGTGAAGTAAATTATTAGGTTACAAATATTATTTTGTATTGGACTACACCAAATTATTTTACTGAAACTAATATAGGTATCTATTTTATATATGCACAAAGTGATCAACATAACATAAGACACTCAGTATATCGAAAAGTATTAACTTTTTTTGTTATTTGATTATCTACATTAATAAAAATATTTTTGTCAAACCTACAATGATTTTTAAGTAGTAAGTTACTCTATGTTTTCCTCAACAAAATATGCTATTATATATTAATAAGTATAATATTAAACACACATCAAGAAATAATAATTATTTTAAGTATGAAAACTCAATTCCATACAATATTATTTCATAATTTGTTTTAGTTATTTGGCATTGGTTCTATGGTTGAATGGAGAAAAAAAAACAATAAATGTGATCGTTACCTAAAATTGGGTTGTAAATGTTTATTATATTGAGCTATTTACTTAAATAAAATAACCGAGCAATTAAAGTAAAGGTAACAAATATTATTAAAATTATTGTTATTTAAGTATTTTTCTGGCAGATTTACCTTCAAATTATTAGGATATTATTAATTTATAAGCAAATATTATTAGCCAACTAAATAAATAGTAAAATAGTTTAAATTACTAATTAAATTATTAATTACCTATTAGGTCAAAATTTATATTTCTTTGTATGAACATAAAATATGACGTGGGTAGAGGATACGAAATAAAAATAAAACTAAATTTATAATATTCTATACTAATATTGTTACAAAAGATAATTTTCTGAATTTGTTTTAAGGTCACACTAATTTATTTTATTTAATGCAAAACAAAAGAGATGGTAAATGAATGAAAATCAACACCGATAAGACTAAAGAATAATAAACAGACTAGATGAATAGATTTAAATTGCTGAACCGACTGTAATATTACATAATAGATGTCATTATCTACTCAAAAGTTATCTGTCATTCTGGGAACAATCATTATGACAACAGTTACAGTACTAACATCAACTTATGAACTAGTTACTCAAATGGTCTATATTAAATTAAAAATATTAGTCATTTTTAATACAGTATGGGAGATTTTTAACAAATAGACTTGATAATTTAATGAGTACAACTGAAATTATTAACTGAAATCAATTATCAATAGTGCTTGATAATATTTGTTTTTTTCGCAAATAAAAATGTTAAATTTAACTATGAAAGTTTGGCTGTGTGTATATTTTGCCTGCAAAATTACATCAGCCCTAGACAATGGATTAGCTTTAACGCCGCCAATGGGTTGGCTAGCTTGGCAAAGGTTCAGATGTACAATAGATTGTAATAATTTTCCAGACGAATGTGTAAGGTAAAAACCTCAGTAAAAATAATATAAAACAAACTTAACTTTTATCTAATTATTGTAAACAATTTGTTTTAAATTTTAATAGTGAACAATTATTTATGACTACTGCAGATTTATTAATAAGTGAAGGATATGATAAAGTAGGATATAAATATGTTGTGATTGACGACTGCTGGATGACATACAACCGAACACCAGATGGAAAATTACAAGCTGATGAGAAAAGATTTCCACATGGGATTAAAGCTCTCGCTGATTATGTAAGAGTAATGTAATGTAACGTTTTAATTTAATTTAACATTATCAAGTGTTAGCATAAACATTTGAATAGTATTCACAAACTTTTTTAATAATTGTCAAACTATAATCTACTCAGTTTTTTCAGTCAAATAATGATAAACAGTCTACATGTATAGGGTTACCAGATTTCAAAATTCAAAATACGGGACTAAAAAAAGGTCTATTTCAAATACAGTGAAATCTCCCTTAACGGATCGTCAGATAGACAATAGCGAACAAAAATGGGTATCATTTTTTGAGAATTATGATTAGATGCATCAGTCATAATTGATACAAAATTGCACTTGAGTAAATCTTTTTTTAAAACATTAACAGCATAGGGTAAAAATACATTAGTGATGATAGATTTTGTTTTAGTTCTACCACAAGTCAATTTTTTCTCATATAATTTACGAACTGAGAAGTACAATCCATAGAATTGAGAATTTGACTGTGTTTACAAGTATGATAAGCAAAAATTCCTTCACCTGCATCTAATTTTTGTTCTTTATCAGCAAATTGTGTTTTTGGAGAAAAAAAATTTGACAATTTTTGAGATTTAGACGCTCTAGCAGCTATATTATGTCGTTCCGATTTTAAATGTNTTGTAACTTTTCATTAAATGTGCACTTTCTTTTGGGCATTTTAAAAATTAAAACTTAACTATCATATTATTATGTTATAAAAACGATTATAGACTAATGTATATTACTGTGGTCTGACCAGACTAAAAATTATATGATTGGCCATATCACTCATTTTCATCAGACATTGCCACTTTTTACCCATGCTCCATATATATATATATATTCCTTTTTTTGATTATCAGGTTCATTCTAAAGGCTTAAAATTTGGAATTTACGAAAGTGTTGGTACTAAATCTTGTGAAGGTTATGCCGGTATAAAAGGCCATGAACAAATCGATGCTCAAACATTTTCAGAATGGGGAGTTGATTATGTAAAACTAGATGGCTGTTACACAGATGAACGAAACATGGATGTAGGTAATATTGTACAGAACATCTTATGCAAACAAAAGAATAAATGTATATTTACATTAACTTTTATAGATTTCCCTCGATTTGGAAAATATTTGAATGAAACTGGAAGACCAATTATATACTCTTGCTGTTGGCCATTTTATCAAGAAGGTAAAGGAATGAAAGTAAGGATCTATAGATAGTAAAACAATAATAACAAGGTTATTGATATTTTTTTTTTTTCAATAGGTTAACTACACACATGTATCTCAATCATGTAACTTATGGAGAAATTACTGGGATATACAGGAATCATATGATTCTCTATTCAATGTCCTTGATGTATTTGCAGCAAACCAAGATAATTGGACTCAATATGCAGGTCCAGGACATTGGAATGATCCAGATATGGTTAGATTTCTGTACTTGAATAAATATATTAATAATTTATAAAAATAATTTCCCTAATCTTAATAAATGACAAAGAATATTAAAATTATTTTGCTTTAAAGTTATTAATAGGTAATTTTGCATTGAGTTATGATCAAAGCAAAACACAAATGGCTCTATGGGCTATTTTAGCAGCACCTTTATTTATGTCAAATAAATTGTCTACTGTAAAACCAGAATTCAAGAGAATATTACAAAACACTGAAGTAATTCGAGTGAATCAAGATAAACTTGGAATTCAAGGCAAAAGGATTCTTCAGGTTGTATATTTATTACTTTGAAAACATCCATGAATATAAAAACAAATTAAATTAAAGCAGCGAAAAAAAATAACAAACACACACTTCAAATTTTGGGTGAGACACTAACTAATAAATTAACATTTATGACTTTCAGGATCAAGGAATTGAAATTTGGACAAGACCAATTGAGCCCAAAGAATCAGAATATTACTCATATGCAATTGCTTTTGTTAATCGTCGAACATTAGGAACACGGGCTTTATACAATATTACATTAAATAATTTAGGATTACATTATTCAAATGGATACAAAATTGTAGTAAGTTAATTTATTAACATTTAACCTTACAAGTGTTTTGTTTTTCGATTCAAAATTAATTTTATGGAATTTAAAAATAATTGTAATTGTAAAATTAATAAACGTACAAAAAAAAAAATCATAAGAATTTCATATTTTGTTTAGGGAAAATAGGCATAAATCATATTTAGTATAGAGCAGTATTATTTTTAAACTAGAAGCAATTTATTGCATTTAAAAATGCATAACTCCTTAACTAAAATTAAAATACACATCACAAATTTGTCAGTTTTTCTTTAACATTGAATAATTTTCTTCAAAAATTTGAGTATTATTTGAATATTAAATATTATTTTATTAGGTATCTATAAAGTTGTTAAATTAAATATTATTTTAATTTGATTTAATCAGATTTAGATTAATGATTAATTAATTTAATATTAGAAAACTGATGTATATTCTGTTCTAGAAATTATGTATTAATTTTTTGTTATATATATATATATATATATATAGGATTTATTTGCAGACAATTCTAGGAAACACATTTTAAAATCAGAATCACTGATTACAGTAAAAATAAATCCATCAGGTAAAATAAAACTGTAAAACGAATATTATTATTTAAATCTAATTTAACTATTGTTGTTGATGCATACTTTTAATACGTTGCTATTTAATTTTTTAGGTGTTGTCTTTTTTAAAGCTGATATTATACAAAAACACAAGTATTTTAATGAGTTCTACCTTACAGGTGTTTGAATCTCCAAAGTAATGAATCAATATAATATTAGATATGTTATAGCCCAATTATTATGTCATTATTGTTAGTAGTAAGATAATCTAGTTCAAACATAAAAAATAGATCTATAATAATATATGAAGTATTGAAACAAGAAATAAATATAATACAGATGTATTATTTTATTGTTTTGGTAACTGAGTTTTTAATTAATTGTTTTAAATTTTAAAATTATTATAATTCCAAATTATCTTTAACACACACAAAATATATATAATAATGAATTTAATTAATTTTTTTGTCATGTAAAATGTCAATCCTTAATGATCTCCCTAGATATTTTCCTCTATCTTTTAACATATACTGAACATGTATTTATATGAAATTCAAATTCAGGGATTGCAAATATATCTAATACAATTGTTTATTTTGATTATCTATTAGATGTTATATTACACCTTATACACATGCAATACACCCAGCACTCCAGCAAAATACAAGATTCAATTATATATCATATGTATAAAGAATGTAACAAAATAGCACTACTATTGACTACAAATTACAGTTGTTAAAACAAACAAAAATAGGTAATCCTAATTAATATTGAGCAAAATCATATTTTATTTAATTATCATATTATACCTAGTTGGTATTTTCTAGTATTTTAACCTAGTTAGCTTTTCTAAATTATTATAAAAACTATTTTGAAAATCAAAGAATCACCTTCCTATGCATCAACTGGATAAAATTAAAAGATAAAATAAATAAATAAAAAAGAAAAGTTATATTAAATTATTATTTATAATTATATTATACTTGATACATCAGTAAAATAATTACTCAGACACAAAAAAAAAAACCACATATGGATCTATCACTAAGCTCCGAATCTAAAAAAAAAATATATAAATCATGAAGAAATAAATATGTGAAAGTAAGTTTTGTATAATATATTAAATACATATCTAATAAAAATTGGAGATATGTAGCTATGTCACAATAATAATTTAGTGTAGTGTAAGTAACAGTAATACAAGTCTATATTCAAACAGAATATTATAGGAACATGTTACTCTAATGTCATACTACATATTACAGCACTTAAATCATTTAATAGTTATAATTATTCATATTATACCAAAATTTAAAGTAGAAAAATTGTTTCATAGTTGCAACTTAACAATATATTATAAATAAGGCAAGTACTTTTAACCTATTCGTAAATTTCCCACCAGCCAAAAACAAAATTACACACATAATTGTTTTTTTAAGTAAAAACAATTTTTAAATTTTTTAGAAATCTAATAAAATATATATTAAATTTAAACATAACCAAACTAAATAAAAACTATAAGGTTACAAGAGATTATTAAAAGCTTACATTAAATTAAAATAGACACATTAACCAATATTATACTAAATTATATCAACATAATATATGACACATATCTTCATATTATAATACACAATAATGAGTAATAAGTTATTATCTTAATATAATATACCTATTCAGGTATTATTACTCTGTGATAGAACCAAGAAAAGTACTAATAAATAAATAAAACAAAATAAGAAACCTTGTATAATTGCACACAAATAATTTTATTAGGTATTGGAATTAATATTACTATTAGAATGTTCATGGTTACAGTTAATTTCTAACATACAAGGTCTTAAAACTTAAAATATGATTTTGAAATGATGAAACCAAACTTTCATCTACATACTAACTATTTGAAAAATATAAATATTATGTTCCCATAAAGAATTGTGTAATATTGTAAGTAGATCCATCTTTAAATATTAACATAATCTAATGAATGTTTGTGATCTTTATTAAATTTATCAACTAATATTAATATGAAATTATTCAGAAATTAATAGGTAACACTTAATAATAATAACTTTAATTTCTTATTGATGTAAATATTAGACAAATTGTATACACATTTTTAAATATTTTAAACAACGATAACTTTTTTCTAGTTTTTATATTATACAATTTTTAATATCTGACTTGAAAGTTGGATATCAAATTATAAGCCACAGAATTTGTTTTATTATAAATGTAATAAATAATTTATTAAACAAAAAAATGTGTAACTACAATTCATGTATAAATATAATACAATAATAAAAAAAAAAAAACAAACGGACATACTTCGCAAGATGGGCCACTGTTGTAGATGAGAAGTTGGGATAGTATAGGAGAAATTTAATGTATATCTGTACACAACAATTAACCATTGCTAACAAAAAACGAATCTGAAAGGAGTTCAGTCATACATATTTTAACAAGTTGTAATATTTATTATTCTAAATAATAAATTTCATAAATTTTTCAGGTTTTCCCCATTTATTATGTAAACCCCTGAAAAAACCAAATAATGACTTTCCTTAAGTAGCATCTTAGTCAAATTTTTTTTCATTAAACTCTATGGTTGAAAATTGGAACACTATTTCTGGTAGAAAAGTTGTTCACAGAAGAAAAAACCAAAAGATATACATCATTGTAAAACCAATACCACAAAAGGGTAGCATAACAAGAAATAACAGACAACATTAATGAGAGAAAAACTTAATTAATTTAAATAATTATATTATTATGTAGGTACTTTACAAAAACAATACATGCTTTATCTAATTCAATCACATAACATAATAATATTATCTATTATAAAACCAACAACATTGAGCTTGTATAATTACTCTACCTACTTAATTATAACTAACTATTACATTATTATGTCTTATGATAATTGGTAAAATAATTACATAAGTAAACTAAATTATAAAAATAATATTTTTTTTGGAATTTAAGAATTAAAAAAAGCCTGTTGTAAATTATTAATTAATACATAATTTAAACATAATAATGAATTACGTAAAAAAAAAAAAATATTTGTCATACAATTTTACGATTTTACGATCATAAGATTTTAAGTAATAACAAAAATAATAAACAATTTAAAAAAAAAAATATATCTTTGTAAAACCATAAGTTTGCTCACTCTACTTAGATTTTGAATGGAGCATTATATTATAATGTTCAGCGAAAAAATCCTTAATAAAAATATGACATGGATATACTTTTATTAAGAATCTATTTATCTATATAATAATATATGCATTGAATGTTTAATAATTCTATGATAAATACACTAATATTAATTAATTTTAAAATTAGATTTTTAGAAAATTAACCTACTTAATTGTCACCTATACAGAATGATTTACTAAGCTTGCTCACCCAATTTTTTTTTTTGTGGGGGGGTTAACTTTTGCATGTAATTAAATTCTGATTTTTGGAATTTTCAAGTGTAGTTAAAATCAATATTTTTCAATACTTAGATTTTTCACAACATTTAAGTACTATTCTGTAGCGATACCAACTTAAGATTTGCAAATGTAAACCTTTAAGTTAAAATAGGAGGAGAATAGAGGAGTATCATTTGTGTGGTGGCACGGCGCATGGAGTTTTATTAGTGCTCCACTACTCTCTCCCTACCTAAACCTAAAAATGAAATCTTGTCAACGGATTAATGGAAACCAAAAATTTTAACACCAAAATTTATTTAAAATAATAGTCCACCATACTCCATCTATTTATAATATTTTTAATATGTTTTACCAAAATTGATATTACCACAAGATACCTACTCCTTAAAAGTTGTGAAAAATCTAAGTATTTGAAAATATTGGGTTAAATTACACTAAAAAAATTCCCAAAATCAGAGTTTGAATACATGCAAAATGTAATCAAAAAAATGGGGTGACTAAGATTAATGAATCATCCTGTAGATTCATCATTATTTTTTCTAAAGGTGTTAACTTTCAGCATGGTTTTGTTTACTAGTACCTACAATTTATAATAAAGCAATACATCAACACATAATTAAGCATAATTATTACTAAAAAGTAAAATTATAAATGCATGTTGGTATTTAACTTATTATTATATTACACCAACATAATCATAAATGTCTATTTTGCTTTTTAAATTTGTAATAGCAAAATATGTGCATATGTGCAATAAAATTAACCTTATTAAGATGTTTGGAAAATACTTGTGTTAATTGCTACTGACAATGGCACTGGTAACTAATAATAAATAATAATAATAATGATAGGTTTATAGAGTATATAACCAAACAGTTATACAATATTAAATATAAGATATTAATTTAATCAACAACTCTTTTGTAAGTAAAAGTTACTATTAGAAACTTGATAAATATCAAAACTATCTGAGTACAACTTATTGGAATCATTACTTATTAATCATTATACAATAGATAACTTTATTCAAAAATGAATGAATGTTATCAATTAAAATCCACTATAATTTTAAGATTTCTAAACTTTGTAAAATTTTAGGTACAATTTGAATACTTAATTTGTTTTATTTATTTTTGCATTATTATAGTTCAATAATTTATATGTTATGTATTCAAAGCAACATATACTTATTTTATTTTATTTTTATTTCATAAAACTATGCACATTGTTACTTAAATTTTACTATTAATGAATTAGTTATGTAATTCAGATTAAAAACAAATTTTCTTAAGTAAATTATACATCTACTAATTCTAAATTAAATATAACAATTTGGAATATAACATCAAATAGAAACAGTTAAAATGCTTAAATGATTGTATACAAATTACTATTTATTAATTTAACTTAAAAATCACTACAGATAACACTTGGTAATCTTATTGAGCAATGTAAATTTACTTGTTTATTATTGAGTAAAACAATGATGAAAAATGATCTACTAAATAGATAAGTCAATATACTAATTAGTACTTCTTATATAATGGGCTATTATTATTAACAAATCATAACACTATCAATTTAATAGTGATACTATTAACAACCTATTCAAACCAAGGTTCAAGATATGTCATTATTTAACTAAACAACACCATAATATAATTTGTCTAATTCCATCCAATAATTAAAGATAATAAACCATTTTAGATAAGAAGTTGTAAATAAAATTATTAACCCTATATCCAATTCATTAAATCTCAATATGAATATTGAAATAGTAGAAACTATTTAAATAAAAACTATACTTACGTATTTCAAAAAATAAAAAATCTTCCCTATACCCTAGTCATTATACACTCAAAAGTCAAATATTTTTATTTACATACTATGGTTTTATGAAAATAAATTCAAAATTCGGTATAGGGCTATATGCATACATAGGTATTTACTATTTTTCAAAAAAATCTCAAATTTGTTATACTCATACTTGTGTCAAATATTAATTCTGTAGTTAGGTATATTATATAGAGCTCCAACTTTTTTTTATCTAATGTAACTAACCGTTTTATAACAAAGTAGAAATAGTAGAACACACGAAAATGAATATTGGATTACCTATACATAAAACAGAGATGCGCATTGATATAAGTGTATATTTTTTTTCAACAGTGATAAACAATTTTCGAATGAACACTTAATTGGGTACAATGTTATAATCTAATGTCGCGTATCCTGTAAAATAACCGGATAGAACACAATCATAGGTAGCCCAAAACAGGGAAAAATTACCTGTAATAGGACAGCACTCCATTAGAAAGGACGAACCACCGTTTCTGATAGCCCTTGATGTAATTGGTCCACTTGAACAACCATCCTTTCATGTCCTCGTCGTCCACCGACGACGGCGTCGGTGGCGACTGTATTTTCGCGTCTACTAGAGCAGCCATCTCGGCCGCGGAGCTATTCGCAGACCACCAATCAGTAATTGTAACAACAGTGTTGATGGCGGTGGCGGTCGTCCATCTCTTTACCTTCGATCCGGCGGTCAACAACACTGTTGCTGATATCCTTTTTGATTTTTCCGTCACGAAATTAGCGTCCAGACGGCCAGACGGGACGGCAGGTACACGAAAATAAATAATAATGATAGTATAAATAATAATAATGAAAACGACCTACAAATATTCCGCGACTCGCAAGAAGCGAGAAGAATAATTAATAAATAATATTTCCACAGAGATAATTATTAATCCGCTACCCTTTCTATCGGAATACTACTTAAGATAACGAATGATCAGCTGACAACACGACGACGACGACGACGACAATTATTATTATTTGACTGGAGCAACATAACGACAGTGCAACCAACGTTACCACCGTGTCTCATCGTGTCGTACAAAATTGTTCTAACCCATAGACTATGTATTACCTACTACATATATTGTACATTGTTTAATTATTAACCATAAGTTTATGAACATGAAGCTATTTAAATTGTTTTGCCTTTTTCGTCCGTTTTAGTATTTAATTTTGTTGGAATAAAATATTTTCTGATTTGGTAAATTCTACTATGCATAACTAGGATGTATTGGCTTTACCATGATATGTTTTATTTTCTGATTATTAACATATTTAGCTCCAATCAACTCCAGAGATAGTTTCTAGTATCAAAATTGTACAGATGTTCTTATTGTAGATAATTACCTGTAAAAAAAAATTTAAAAATCCGTTGTCACAATTTTCATTATAAACCTTTAAAAGAGTTAAATTTTGATAAAAATTGTAAACATCGTGGAATTTCAAATACTGTTTTTCTATTAATGTGGATAAAACTTTTTTGGTTCTACATTAAAATGATCAGAAATTCTTGAGGAAAAAACATGAATAATGGTAATTAATATTGTAGTTACAAATTAATATAATGTTTAAATTTAATTTTTTTAACATTTTAATTTTAAACTCAGTTTTTATTAGTTATATTATTATTCTATTTTTTCTCAGATGCGGACGTAACAACACAAACAGCATTTTTAAAGAAAATATTTGATTTGAGTTCTTGGAAATATGGCTCAGGTTTATATCAAGTGAAATTAATATCAGTTTATTTTTTTGATTCTAACCGAAGTTAACAATGTTTTAATTTTATTATGATGTGTTGTTTTTTGTCTATAAACAACTTTATACCAGAAATCTTAGGTCAACCAAAAACTTTACAAGAAATTTCTATAGTATTTTTGACCCAGTTAGTGCATTGGGAGGTCATTTTGTGATTTTCAGTGTAGTTTTTTTTCTTAATAAATGCAAAAAACTGGCAATTTTTTCATAATTTATGTTAATTTTTAGATCATTTGAACTTGGCAACAAATGAAAAAAATATTCTGTTTAGAATCGTTTCTTCATTAACAATAATTTATCATTACGTACAGATAAAAATTAAATTTATTTATTTATCCACCCTTCTAATTTTCCTCATTAAAATGATACACTGATCAGTCATTGGTACATCATCACAATTTTTTTTTTTCTTAAATTAAGATATAGTTATAGGTACTTTGTTGTCTTTTATTTATATATATTAATGCCATTTAGGTTTTTAACAAAAATAAATAAAGCTCATAAATGTGACCAGCGTGGAAAGCTTGGCATGTTTAGTACCAGTGCTCTGAACATATTTCAAGAAAAAAACCATCTGTTTATTTCGGAATTAATACCAAAAAACCAATTGAAAAACATGACTAAGTCACTCTATTAAATTATATAAAATATTGGATTTAAACATATCAAATATTTTTTTTTAGGTTAAATTATAAAACCTTTACATTAAAGTTTTTCAAATACAATAATAAATTCATTATGACTTATATATACTTATATAAAAACAGAATACCTATTATTGGCTTTTTCAAAATAACGACTCATCTGAAACGTAAATTATGTAAATTTGTATTAATTTTTTTTATGCTGGTACATATTATATGATATATATTTATATATTATGATAATTTTATTATCTTTTAATAACATTTATATGTTTAGTACCTACCTATTATATCCAAAGATAGATTTCTTTATTATTTATGGTTATACTTTGAAGATATCTTATAATCTGTAGCTAATTTTTCTTTAACCTATGTATTTCAAACTATCTCATTGTTTCTCTTTCTCTCAACGAGCCCATACTATCTCAATCTATTCTCTATTTTTTTCCTCCAACTTTACTGTATACCTGCTATTCTTAGACTTATATACTCATTCCTAATCTTAACTTATTAACCTGGTTAAGCCCATTCATATTCGCCTTAGCACTTTTGTTTCTGTTACTTACATTTTAATATTTTTAATTAAATAAGCAATACTCATATCTGTATATCATCATTTTTGGCATCACAGGAGTTTTAAAACACTTTCCTTTAATGTCATCTTATCTTGATCTTAACATTTCTTCTGTTATTAATCATAATTTTACTAGCTTCATCCTACAATATTCTCTTACACTCCTAAACTTAAATGCCTACTTAAACTTCTCAACTCCATTTATAATTTAACATCCAAGTGTTAGTCTATGGTGACCTCCATTATTTCTTCTTACTTGATTTTTAAACTTGAACTCTAACCTACTTATTTATTATTTCAATATAATTTTAAAACCTTTAATGATATCTATATATAATTAAATTTTTACAGTAGTCCTTGGTTATAATAGTTGATATTTTTATAATACTAATATGTAAACTGTACAGAGCATACCTATACTGCTATACTTACTTAATAATTAACATAAAACAATTTTCTTAGTTCCATGTTTCTATTTTAAATTTTAATTGGTTAAAATGATTTAGGTATTGTAAAAACAGTGAACTACACGTACATTAAATATGGCAATTATTAATTAACCTACGTTATTACAACCACTGTGTTCCTATTATTTATTTATTCATTGTATCGCATATTTGGACAATGTTCTTAAAGTTATAATCATAGTAGAAATACATGTTAATATTAGTAACATATGAAAATCAAAACAAAAGTAACGTAACATAAAAATAAAATAGCTGGAGTTCAATTTAATTGTGAATTGTATTGAAAATCTAGTCCTTATTTATAAATTTATGCCCAACGTAAATCCAATCTAGAGCTTCTCTGGCCAGCACAATAAAATTCTTCATTTCTCCTTGAAATTTTTTTGAGAACAATCTGACACAATGTGCTCCATTGTGTGATTTCTTAAACTGTATTATCACTAAGTTTCCACCATAAAAAAAAAAACACAAATCTAGGAAAACTCGTGTCCTCGAAAACTCGTCATAATTTAAAATTTCATCTTTTGAAAAATTGATACTAAAACTGACTAATAGATAAAAAAAAAAAAAAAAAAACAATTTTTCTATGGCGCTTATAGGTAGGTTTTATAAAATTATTTCAAAACGTAATTCTATAAAAAAAAAAAAGTGTTGAAAGAAAAAATTACCAGGGACGGTTTTGTCAGTGTATTAAATTATGATGGGATAGATTGTCTGCATACGGAGTTTTTCGCAGGAACGAATTGTCTACCAAAAAATTAACCACACCTTTCATGTCCTAAGTCGGTTTAAATCCATCCAGAAGTGTTGTCGGGTCATAAACTAAGTTAGCATTCTTGAATGTAAGATTGTTCCATATAGTACGCCATTCCATAATTAAATTAAAGTTTGTCTGAATAAGGTGTCCCAAAGTTGTTTTCTCGATTTCAAACGTATCTGTAGAATGATGCTAAGCAATTGAGATATCATATTATTGATTGTGTTTAATATCTATGTTGATGTCTGGAGGAGTGATATTTGACAAGACCAAGTGCCACTCCGATGGGGTTGACTTCAACGCTCCACTTATAACTCGCATTACATTATTTAATCTTTTTAACGTGTTAGGTATTAAGCCAAACACTTAGACAATATTCAGCGGTAGAATATAATAATGCTAGAGAAGCGGTTCTGAGTGTATGGGCGCGGTGGGTTTCAGGCACCCATACACTCACTGTACACACACTGTCCCTCCTAATTTTGTAACAAATTTACTCTTGATCTCTCCTTCCGTGCATTTTCTAAATGCTTTTTAAAAGTTAAAGAACTTCTAGACACTTGGGTGAGGATTATGATTTAAAGTTATATACTCTTAAACTCAGTCTGTAGTTCTCGATCAGCTTGTTAGGTATATAGGTGTAAAGTACACACTTCTGTTCTGTGGGGATTTAGTCTCCATTTATAGAAATAATTTCTGTGTACCTAAAAAAACAGTATTTAAAACAATTTACAACTAATAACGCAATATAACTCATTAATAAGTGCTTAATAATGTATTTGAAACAATCACGTATTTACAATGGGTTGTCCTGAGTGCTAAATTCCTCGAAGGAGTGTAGTACATTGTAGAGTTTTTGATTAACTTATAATAATATATATGGAAGAATATTGGCTGAAAAAATACGAAATACTCCATTTATTACGAAAATCATAAAAATCACATTATTTCAATTCATTTTAAACTGAACTTCGCTCAAAATCGTGTTTTGTTAGCAATAGTTTATCATTACTTACAGATATAAATTAAAAATTAATAAATAAATTAATTTCTACTTGTCTTATGCCCCCCCCCCTACATTAGTGTAACAGTGGCGCATCCATCAGCAGTATCAGTTCTACCATTAATTATAGAATACACAGATAGCCCATGGCATAGGAATATCTAGTGACTAAAATTATGTTTATGCTATTTCCCAAAAGATGGCGTTGTACATATCAATGAACAAATAATTTCACTTGAAATGAAATTTTTGTTATTATTGCCCGTGATCGATCGTGACGTCACGGCTGCGTAGCAGGAAGTTATTTATAGAAGTGTTTATTTTATCTTTATCAAGGTTTTTTTTCGGAATTGACTATTATTTATTTCTTCACGATTTTATATTCGATATACGTCTTGTATTTGATAATTGGAGTGTAAACACCATAGTTTGTAGACTGATATGGAACATAAAAAGTAATTGTTTGTCTAGTGCCTAGTTGAGGTCCTCCTCCCAAAAAAAAGGAAAGCATATATTTATACAATTATATTTATTATGTTATAAATTATAATTGTTAACAATTATTACAACTAAAAGACTTTTTTTTTTATTAGAAAAACATCTTTATATTGAAAATTTATAATCTATAATATTTGTACAATCAGTAATTAGTAATTATAATGAAAAAAAAATATTATCAGTTTTATGACATAAAAATATAAGATATAATAAACACATGTTGAGTCTCATAGTGGAAATATAATTTTTATTAAGAAGAAGTAATTGTTTTTTATCGTTAAGTTTTCGTCTGTAAATAATTCATTTTTACGATGGTTACAATTTAATTTTTCCATACATTTATTTTGTTTGTTTATCTCGTATGTTTTTTTTTTATATCATCAAATGAAATTAAATTATCGCCTTTTATGAAACAGGCTTCAATTAAATTATTTCTAATACTTTTAAGCAAATGTGGAACATCAAACAAAACAAATATTGTATTATTGTTGATTAGAAAAAATGGGCTATTTTCTGAAACATTTAATGATTTTAATGTGCTTTGATTGTGTGTACCTTGATCGCATACTATAATTTTTGAACACAATTCAACCTCGAATAATTTTTGAAGCACATCAATAATTAAATTTTTTTTAAATGATTTTGTTTACTCTTGAATGGGCAAGAAAATATGAAATTGGGAATTTCAATGGTGAATGAATACCTCGAGCCATAAATACTAGAACACAGTTAGCACTTTTATTGATCATAATGGCCTAAATCTTCAAAACCTTCAATGAAATCAAATTTTTTGGACAATTCTACAAATTCTTTTATGTAAATCTCATTAAAACAAACAGTGCGCGGGTTTTCTTTATATTATGATGACTCAAATTTTTTTTAAAGATGACTAAAAAATAATTTACCGAAATCTGGTAAGAATTTCGATTGACCAATCCAACGACGAACAGTTGATGGCCCAGGCAAATTTATTTTTTGTGTACGTAAAAATGTATATGCTGTTGGTGATTTATAATATAAGTTTAAGACACTTATTGCCAGACTTTTTTCGAATTAATCGTAATTATATATATAAAATAAAATTATTCACAAGAAATAAAATACAAAAATTTATAATAATAATACGAAATACGATGATAATAAACAATTTTGTATTCCAATTTATTTGAACAAATATTCTATTATTAGTACGGCAATAACGCGCGATAAGCTACCCCCCGCACCGCTTATCATTCTACTATGGGGGGTACCACCTGCTCGCTATGACGGAGTTGCTATCTCCTCGCATCTTAAACTGCACTAGCGCTTCTTCACAGCGTTGACATTCTTATTTCAGTCGCCTAATATTTACATTGCACGGGCTATCTGTGTATTCTATAATCAATGGTTTTAACTTTTTTTTTTTTTTTTTTATCGTGAACTATAATTTACTTAATTGAGTGTATTTTACTGTAGTTCGTAAAAAAAAAAAAAAAAAATGTAACTGCATTATAGAAATATATAATACAATGTTACCTGAATAACACGTAGGCGCCTGTATAAATGTGTACAGTTTGCAGAGGTGCTGAGTACGTGCTTAATGTGATGCGTTTGCCAATTTTACCGATAATTATAACAGTAAATCGTAATATATTATAATATATGAATATTTGTGTACCTACCGGTTACGGACCGAATAGATTCATCTAATACACGCATAATATAATAATATTAATTATATCAGATGCGTAGCCGGGGGGGGAGGAGGCTAAGGAGGTTATTGTCCTCCCTTTTGACCGTGTTTATGTTAGCCAACAGCCGTATTTATTTTTTATAACATATTTTAATATAATATCACCTATTTATTTAATAAATTTAAATGGCTTTATTAACAATATGCTAATATGCTCATAATTAATCAACGAATATTGACTGATTATAATAAATAATTCCAATAAATATTATAATGAATTATTTTTATAAATAATTTGTTGCATAATCTATTAACACAATATTACAAAAAATTAAAAGTGAAAAGAATGTGTTAACTGATCATCTGCTGAGTAAATAAACGCATATATTTTGAGGATGTAAAACGAACAATACGCAAGTCATAAACACACACAAATATACGATGTGTAAAAATTAAAATATATACATTTAAACAAATAGAATAAGTCGTTTTTCAAAAAACTTATGAGAAGACTTAAGAGTATTAGTATTATTTGTACATGGCAATGTTATAAAATAAATGTATTGGAAATGTTCACCTTAGACCTAAATGGCAACAATATTTTTTAGGATGTCTAGGAGAGAAGGGGTAACAATTTGTCTATGCGCCACATTCTAAACATGTTGTACTAAAAATTAGTTCGGCGCCATTAGGTGTATCTCGGAAATCACGTTTATCTTAATTATCTTAGCCATATAAAATTAATTGCGTAAGATATAGATTGTGATAAATTTAATTGATATTTGGGTTGTTCTACTTGTTATAAAATATTAATTTATAAATTTTTATGTTTAAACAGATAAGTATACATATCTAGTTTCAAAAATCCCCGGAAAACGTTAAAACGCCATAAAACACACCTAAATCAGATATAGTGAAAAAAATGAGTCATAGTTTACAAAGTACAAATCGTCCATAAAATAGAGATTACTTATTATAATCATATAGATGTCTACACTTTTACGTCATTAACAATAATTACTGCCCTCTTAAAATATAGGTTTTAGTCTGAAATAACGTTTCTCAATCTTTTTCAAATCCATATTTGAATTTATTATGAATCTAACATTTTTTTTCTTTTTTTATCAACATTGAAATGTGTATTATTAATAATCATAATCAGGGCAAAGAATTTTAGTATTTGCATACTTCTTTTACGCAATGAAAGAAATAGCAGAGTAAGAAACAAATACGTTTTGTGTTTAGACAAAATTAGATTTGTATTTTTATTAAACTGAAGATATAACTTTATAAATGCATATTTCGAATTTTTCCAATTTTTAGGGCATAGTATTTCTTCCATTTTATACTTTTCGGGAAATATGTTTAGTATTTTCTCGATAGACGTTTTTGCTTTATTTAATAATATTACAACCAAAATTGTTGAATTTAAATTAATTTTTAATTTTTATCATTTAATGTGGCTGTTCGATGTACATAAATACGTTTTTCCTATAAACACTAAACGATTGCTCATTAAATTAATTTTTCGGTTATCATTTTTTATATTTATAATACAGTTTATTATATCATACAATTTCCGACAGAACGATAACAATCCTATATACGATAGCGAAATATTAATTATTGAATTTATCATACAATTTTATGAAAAACAAAATATATACACAAGTCTATAATCAATATAAATTATAATGTTCCTATTAATGGTATTAATAAACTAATTAAATCAATAAAATTATTTAAAACTAAATATTATTGACATTCTGTGGCACACTTATGGAAACCTCACAGCACACTGAAGTTTGAGGGACACTAAAGGATTATATTCTAGAAATACCTTGAGGCTTACCTTGAATTCCTTGAAGCTTTGTAACCGAGCGGATCGATGTTTCGGGTGTCCAGACGGCGGCGCACATTTTCCCATATTCCGTACGTTTCGTCCGAATAATTATTTATAAAACCACGGAAAATCAAAAAATTGTTCGTCCCAACGTCCCGACTAGACAACATATTATGTTTTCACACTTGCGTTCAGAAACTACAAAGTAATGACGGTGGAAAGGCAACAAAATCCCCTCCCCTCCACATATATTTAAGCATGTATTATAGTGCACGTGCAAAAACATCTACGATCCAGACTTTGGACCTGTATGAGCAGTCCACGTGTATTTAGCAAAAACATAGACAATTAATATTTACTTATATACGCGCAATCGTTAACCGTGCTCCTAAGCCATTGAATATTAGTATTAAATCGGCTTTGCGTCGTGCACGTCGTTTCGTATAACCAACTCGTTAATTTAATCAACAACGGCTTTTTTTTTTTTTTTTTATTATCCCGTGTCGACGCAGTTGACGGATACAAAAAAATTAATAGGATCCGCAACAATACATAGTATTATCACCTTTTATAGGTAACATCATCTCTCTCCGCGGTTTTTTTATACAAACACGGGATGGTGTTCGACTGCAAAAAAATGATGACTATCGTGATCCTGTCCAACCTAATTGCCATCATATGCACCGTGGTCGCACATAAACAATGGGGAATATTCAGCCACGACCCAGTCAACGGTCCCGGACTGTTGGCAGACCCGTCACTGAAATTCGCCGCCGTGGTAAGTGCAGATCATAATATGAGTTGCATAATGTTTAACTATAATCATTATTTAACATTATTTCCACTATTGTGACGCTATATAGATTTTGGGCGTGCAATTAGCCCAGGGCCGGATTGAGCACAGAGCCAACAGGCTCCAGGCCCGGAAAATTCGAAATCCCGAAGGGTCCTTTTTCTCAGAACCAATTCTGGTTGTAATATTTTATGTTTAATGTTTATTGAAAATTTGCAAATCCAGATTTTATTTTTTATAATAGGTCAATTTTATTTTTATTTGGCTCGATGACGATAATCACGTATACTTGTATTAATTGCATATTCAACTTGACGTTTTCGGCCAATTATTATTAATACCTATTAATTATTTTTCTTATAAATTGAAAAACATAGGTGTAGCTACAGTGGTGTTCCTTACGGGGTGGGAAAGGGAGGGGCGAAATGTATTTTTCACCCACTCTTAATATAGAAAATTCCTTTAAAAGTAACGTCACAGGTACAACAATTTTTTTAATAGACACGGGAATTTGGCTCTTTTATATTTGTAAAATATGACATTTTAATACATAAAATAAGAAATTTGTATTTAATTAAATCTTTATAATATATAAAAATCCCGTGTCACGATATTCGTTTGCGGCAATCTCCAAAACCTTTCAACCAGTTTTTATGAAACTTTGTAAATGTATATTGTTTGGCCCTACTTGAAATATAGGATAATTTTTATCCAGATAGTTAGTCCAGATATTTTTTATTACAAATTTAAGGATTTTTGATACGTTCTACGTATGTATTGTGTCTATGTATGTGTACAATGACTACAATATATGTATGAGTTTATTGTATTACCTATATACATATTATATAATATTAATATTGTAAATGTGAAAGTAAGTCTGTCTGTCTCTTAGTTGATGGAGAAAACATAGGCTACTTTTTGTCGCGAAAATAAAACTTGAAGAGGATGAAAGGTTTTTAGGTATTTTTGGTACGGAAATTAAATTATGGATAACCTTAGTAACACGGGATAAAATGGAAAAAATAAATAAATAATACCTAAACAGAAATAAAAATGCTATAACAACCTAAAATAAAGAGTCTATTTGACTGTCTACCGGTCTATTATTGGCTTGAAATAGGATGAGCTACTTTGGTAACATGGATGAAAAAAAACATAAAACTATGCGCTGTACTTGGTGGGTACCTAAGTAAAAACACGTAGAATGTTACCTTTGAATCTTTGTATTTGTTGGTATACAGTAACAACTCTACAGTACTATTATGTTTATGTTCTAATAATTTTAGCGTTTTATGGTGGAGATATAGTTTAATCCCTGTGCTGTTGAGGTATCTATGGTAACACGGATGAAAAAATGTATAATACTTTCCTCCTTATTTTTTCGTTCAATATACCGATACGGGCAACGCCGGACACAGAACAACTAGTACATTATAATATAAGCTTAACCTTCGATTTTTCATAGAAGATAATTTTTAAACGATATCATCCACTGACACAGATATATATACATAATATTATCTATATCTGTGTCTATTAATATTCTCATTTCCTGGTAAATATGCATAGGCCTGGATTAAGAGTTGTGGAGGCCCGGAGTTCCATATTAATAGGGAGACTTATTTATTCTATAAAAATGGAACAAATAGGCAAAAGTATAAAAAGTCATCAAATATTTGATTCAACTCATAAAATAGTCTTTGTAGGCTCCTATTTCTCGTGGGCCTTGGAGACGTGGCCCCGTCTATCCCCCTCCCCCTCTTAATCCGGGCCTGAATACCTATACAAGAGTGTAAGCGATCCTGGCATATTTATTTCGTAACTAAAAATCAATAATAAAAAACAACGGTCCAACCGCCAAAACGAAATAATAACACTAGAAACCTTGACCCGGTTCGACCATAAATAACTAAAATACTTTAATATCTATGGATTTGACTGTGTTACCATTTTATTCAAGATATTATTAACTACTTTATCAAAAAATAATTGTAAAAACATCAAAATCAAATAGCAATGCACATTTATAATTAAACGGGTCCCCCCGTGGACCTCGCCTCCCAATTATAATATTAATATGTTAGACCTAGTGACCCTATGCAATTAGTGTAGAGTTTCAAAAAGAGAGGAATATAAAATATACAATTGCCTAGTTATAAAATATGGTTTTTTATTTTTACATTAAAATAGTAATATTATTGTTTATTATAAAGAAAATTTTTTATCATAAATTCATAACAGTCAACTAACTTATTAAACTGTATTAAACATTTTTAAAGTGGTAAAATTAAGTTATTCGTAAAAAAATAGTGAAAAGGCCTTTTGAGCTATTGGGATCCAGGCCCGGAAATATCTTAATCTGGTCCTGCAATTACATCCTGTAGTAATTAAAGATAAAACTATTTATTTATTAATATTATTTTACTTAAAAAAAAATGTTAAAGTTGAGTTATTTGAGCACTTATTTAGTATTATGTGTGGCAGTTATATTTAGGCTGAAGCTCTATACTCTGCGTTTCCTTTGCGTTTCATAAAGTGTTTTCAAATGAAAATAAAACAGTCAAAATGGACTATTTTTAATTTCAAAATTTAATTTTTCAATTTTATTACTAAGTATTTAAGGGGTGTTAATACATATTAATGAAACTAAAACATTTAATTTTCCTCTAACAAAATATTTAATGAAATAAATATTACCTATCATTTTGTTTAAAAAAAATCACGTTAAATCAATAGTTTATTTTTGTACCACAACCGAAAATATTATAACCAGGGCCGGTTCTAGACAAAATGTATACATAGGCAAAATCAAAATTTGCCGCCCTTTCGTTTTTGATCTCTCTATTTACCCCTTGTCCCTTTAACCATATCTTCAAACATATTCACGTGTACTTCGGGTTGAAGCCACAGTACATTTATATAGTCCAAATTTTCGTTAAAATTTAAAACCAACTTAGCTAGACCAACTAAACGCAATTGACATATTTGGGACCGCAAGTAGTTTTTCATAATCTTCATTTTTGAAAATGATCTTTCGGCACTGGCCGCAGTTATAGGTAATGTCAGTAAAGTCTTAAGTGCTGTGACTAGGTAAGTTTCAGCCACCGTTGTCAGTAATCAGCTCTAAATATATTGCAGGAGGTCACCTAACCTAACCTAACCTCGCTACAAAACAACGGATGAAAAACAAATAATACTGTTGATAATGACGCGTTGAGCTCTGCTAGTATTATCAGCGCAAAGCCCCAAAAATAAACAATTTATGTAATAAATAATAAATATAGTACGTTATTGTTGTCGTTCATCGACGTTCGGCGAACACGACGTGTAATTTCGGAGAAATATCCGTTAATATACGTTATCTTAGGTTTAATTTTGGTGTACTGTACGTATGTACTTGTGCATAAACCGTCCCAGCCAAAACTAACTTCGGTTAATTGCCGGATGCTTGTCAGCTATTATTTTCGAACAATAAAAATATAACAATTAAATAATTTCAATTTTTGTTCATCGGTGTTTCAAAAACGGTTTTCGGTTTTTGCAATAGCCTACTAGTCCAACGCCTAAGTAACAACGTGTAATCCTAAATACGGCCCTGCCTAAGGAAATGCCGCCTCTTACATAATGCCGCCCCAGGCATAGGCCCGTGTTACACTGTGCCTTCCGCCGGGCCTGATTATAACATACGGGTCTATTCATTTTCATGACACGATACCTATATCTGCCATATAATAATAGTAATAGTTGTGTAATCAATCATAATTCATACAATTATTATGGCAAGCGTTTTCTGTCACCTCAGAGCACATCCAAATTATATGAAATTAATCCGATGAAAAATACTACGGATGAGACACGACGAAAACGCCGTGTATAACTCCGGCCTTAGTCATTTATAAATGTCTAAATGTTTTTACAGCTATTCCGTCACGGAAATAGAGCTCCAGAGATCAGTTACAAGACTGACCCACACATAAATTTTTTCCCAGAAGGAAAAGGCGAATTGACAAAGGTAATTTAACCATAATATTTTTATTATTACAGGCGAAATTATTATTTTTGATTATTACCATTTATAATCTAATATTATATTCAGGCACGTATATAGATGGGGTTTTGGAAAACAACCCCCCCCCCCCCCCCCGAAAATGAATAGTTGTGTAAATTATTTATAAAAATTTAATATTTTTTTAAATATTGATAATATTGGTAATATTGATTATTGTTTATTGTATCATTTTTTATGAACCTCCCCCCCAGTTTTTTTTTTCTGTCTACGTGCCTGATTATATTTTATGAGTTATATTATATTTGTATACATTTAACACCTGCAAGTACTGGAACCGAACCAAAAAGACCTAGGAACCAAAATTTGGTTAGGCAATGTTGATATCGCCTAAACTAAACAATACAATATATACAATTACTAAAATAAATAGTCAAAGTGTGTACTATTTCAGTTACTTATTAGAATTATATTAATTAATTCGACAAAATTATCATATTATTTTATTTGAATTACAATTACAATGAAACTTTGAGTTGCATAATTGTTTTGTTATTCGACAAGCACAGCGGTTATTTGTACGCTTGGTTTTACCCCTCTGATATCCCTGATTCCTAATAATAGGTACTGTTAAGCCATGCAGCTTCTCGGAGAGTGATCTTTTTCTTTTACCGACTTTATTGTACCCTTAAAATCAAGACAATTTTTGTGACATTGAACTATTCTGTCCGAGTGTATCTAATATCTATGCTTTAAGAACCATTTTTCGTACCTAAAATTGTAAATCAATTTATAAATTATCTCATTTTTAAATTTAATTTCTTAGGTAATTTGTACTAGTCATCTTGGATACCGATAAAGTCCGAGATGATCCTCTAGCAGTCTATCTCTATCAAAATCAGGAATCGTTATTAGAGCAGTAGTTTCCGCATTTATGTCTTTTAATTACTAAGCTATTGTTAAATTGCAGTCTGTTGAATTATTTTCTGCCATCCATGTAACGAACATATCTCGGTTTGCCCGGTCTATTGACCCTTGACTGTGCCGAGGTTTTTCGTGCACGCTTCCTTTATCTTCCCAAATTTTGTTGAGTTCCATTATAATTTGATTGCCAATTTCTCAGCCATTGTCTGAATGTAAAATGTAATAGATCGAGATAAGATATCCAATTACAGAAATATACACTCACAATTATTGGTGTGCGTCACTGCGCCAGCATTATTACATCGCCTAGTCATTACTTGCATTGCCGGAATTAGCGATTACATGATAACATGTACAGGGTAATCGACATAATGTAAGACACTTATTTTGAAAAATATTAACGTATTTCGTGATTTATTTTTAGAACATTTAAGTAATGCATAGCTCTAAAATATTACATTACTATTATTTTTTTTCACCCGTGTTTTAAGGGATTAAACCACTACCTACTTTTAATGATCAAATGACAACTTATTCTGAAAATTCCATAAATAAACGGAGTATAGGAATGCGTAGGAATTTTTCGCGAGGTATGCAGAATAATTTTAATATCATTTAATATCATTGTTTAAAACTTGTATATATGGCTTGTACATTTGTTAATAACTTAAAAACAATTATCAATTTACATGTGACTAATTTTACATAGGTGTGATTACTATACACCAAAAACGTTGGTTTTGAAATGAAATACTAATGTACATTAGAACGCAATTACGACAGTATACAACGATTTAACACTTCAGTGTACAGCCTAACTTTTTAAAACAAACAAAGCTAATGACTAATAATATATAATATAAACAGCATTTTTTTATTTGTACCTATATTATATTTATTATACATTTTAACTACAATTAATAACTATAATAATTGAAAATAAATCAAAAATTTAAAGAAGGCAATTGTTTTTGCATGGTGTGCAAGCTGCAGACCCCGTGCGCACGCCTATGAGATGAAGTATTAATTTAAATACATTTTTTGATTTCCGTTAACCAGTTGATGAGATATTGAATATTTGAGTTTAAGTAGAGGGAAAGTGGTAGAACATTATTAAAAGACCACTCAAGGTGCTACCATACAAATGATGCACCACTACATTTCCCTGCCGAAACTTAAAAGTGCGATATATCGTCAACGGATTGATTAAAATTAAAGATTTTAACACAAAATTGATTTAAACTAATACTTATGGAATTTTTTATATAGATCGCCAGTTGAAAATCAAAAGTAAATAATGGTTTCACCTCTCAAATAATAAAAAAAAAAAAAATAAAGTTAATAAAATACTTAAAAGACCTAGTATTGCTTATTATTTTTTAAACGTTCTAAAAACAAATTTCGAAAAAAGTTGACACTTTCCAAAATAATGAGTGTCTTACGTTATAGTGATCGTTCTGTATACACAGTGTGTCCCACAAAGATATACCCATTTTAATATATCCGGAGATAACAAAGTAATCAAATTCTGTTTTTTTTTTAAATTTATTATCATTATTATTATAATTACTTACCGGAATACAAACAACAAATATTTGTATTTCAATTAATTTTTTATGTTTTGGTAAAATACTTAAAAAAATAACTTTTTTTTTTATTATTATTGAAAAAATTAAAGATGGTTATTTTATAGAGTTTATATTATTTTGAAAATTTTGACGTATTAACTTTTAATTTTTGTTAGATTCGTAATTTTTAATAACTTTTTAAAATTCAGAGAAAAAAGTGTACAGTCAATTAGCTATAAAAATAATAATAATAATCAATTAGCGAATGCGATCTTCATATTTTTAAAAAAAAGTTATTTTTTTAAGTGTTTTACCATTACACAAAATTTAATTAAAATACAAATATTTGTAGACCTTATTCCGGTAAGTAATTTTAATAATAATAATAATAAAAAAAAAAAAAAAAAAATTTGATTATCTTTTTTATCTCCGAAGATATTAAAATGGGTATATTTTTGTGGGACACTGTGTATACAAAATTTTTAACCATGAACCAGCAACTACCTCTCAGGATTTTAAGTGAATTTGATTTCTGTATTTTTTAATCATTATTGAATCGTTTAAGCTTTATTTTAAAATCATTTTTAATTTTTTACCCCTACTCTATTTACTCTATTTACCTTGAATAATTGCATACTTTTGTTTTCAAATAGTCAACCCCCCCCCACTCTTTAAACACAGATTTGAATAGAGAATATTTGTCTAGAAATTTTGATGTACTTAACACTAATATCAGATTTACCATTTATGAGTTATAACTGTTTAAAAGTTTAAACCGGAAAAGTAGGGAATGATAATAAATTGCCCATCTATTACCACAGGGTAAGAAATCACCATGTATAATCATAGGTTATTTTATGACGTATGTGATTTATTTTAATTTTGATTATAAAATAGTATAGGTTCCTATATTTTTATATGAAATCTAGAAAATAAATGTTAACAGACAAAAATTTAATTTTTGGGTTTGGTGTTTGTTTGCCCTTCCTCCATTAAGAAATTCTGAATACAATTCTGTAGATACCAACTCTACCTAATTAAATAATTTTAATATTTCAATTAATCTACAGTTAGGAAAACAAAATATGTATAAAAAAGGAAAAATATTTCGACTCCTATACAACGGTTTCATAAGCGATTTATACTTGGATAGTGAAATTTTTATCCAAACTACCAACGTAACACGGACTTTCATGTCGGCGGCATTGGTTTTAGCTGGAATGTATCCACCAAAAGACTATCAGAAATGGTTGGACGAAGAAACTGTGTGGCAGCCTATTCCAATTAATCAAAATTCACCAGATCATGGATTAGTATGTATCTACTATTGTCAATACCTACGTTAATAATAATCTTTTACGTCAGAAATTTAATTTGTTCGTAGTTTTATTCATATAAAGTTTTAATAGCTCTTTAACAATATAAATCAGGTACGTATACAGGGGGATAGGGGAATTCCCCCCCCCGAAAATTAATAGTTGTGTAATTTATTTGTATCAATTTAATATATTTTTTATAAATACTGATTATTGTACATTTTTTATAAATGTAGAAAAACTCACAAAATTAAAATGTCTACAAATAGTTCAAAAATGGCTCGAACGTCGGGTAGGATCTTATGACGTTACGTGTGATTTTAAAAAAAAACGTTATTAAGAAACGGTTCACCTGAGAATTTTTTTTTTTTGAGATTGTTATTCTACTTATAATACTAGAGATACCTATATTGTAGATTAAAACAAAAAATGATTTTTATGTCTTATAGTCCTTTAGTAAAACATTAATATTTTTAATTGTCGAATGTGATGGATCATAATTTCCCGTCATGTTGATCATAATATTATTATCACCTTTATGAAAAATTAATTTACAGCATTTCCAATATAAATAATATAAATCCAGAATTCTTGAGATTGAGCCTAATTTGGTTACACCAATTCAACTTTTTTCCTTGCAACATCCTACATTAGTACTAACTATATCTCAATTGATTTCAATATTTATTGTTTACAAATATTTGTTCAATCCAAGTTAGTTTTTTTCATATAAATGATTTACCCATTTAAGATAAGTATAATTTCAAATCCAACCCTTAAATTTTTTATAAAAAAAACTAGCCGACCCGTCGTGGCTTCACCCGTGATTGGTTGTTTAATTTGCCTTTGGATAATGATATATAGAACTTTTTAATCAAATTCTATCGTTTAATAATATCGGCAAATTAATATAAAAAAAAAAAAACGGTTAATGAAAACGTATTGAAATGTTTCAAGCGGGATTAATGACAAATATATTTTTACTAAAAATGAATGCAGATACAAAAGAAATGCTGAGTAATTTACGGTTGATAAAGAATTTTATAAAACTTCTGAGTATATGGCGTTTTTTGTTTTATCTCCTGTTGAAATTAAAATCATAAGATGCTTCGGGTCCCCAGTTCGAGAAAATCCCACGTATAATTGTCCATGTGAAAAGCACTGTGTTCGAAGACCTACGCCAACGTACCTGTATGTTTGACCTTGAGCTTTGTTTATCGTGATTGCCAAAGAAACTTTAACAGAGAATTAAAGCCGTTTGAACGGAAACGGCAAGTCCGACGGAATCACGGGAATTCTTGGAATAAATGCAATTNTAATCGGAGTACCAATTTTTAATTTTAGCTTATGAAGAGGAAATCCCGAAGGAGAAAGAGAATTGAGAAATGATTGTAGATATAAATATATAAAGATATAGATAAAGATTAATACGAATATTCAGTATACATGTTGTTTGGTGTGCGTGCGATAAACTTCTCGGAACAATTCGTACCTACACACCGATGTCAAACACGATACAATTTGACGAACAAAAAGGTCAGGTCGCGGGTAGCTGTAAACCCGCGGGCCGCCGTGCCGCACAATACGTATATAATATGGGTAGACAATTTTTTAATTTTTCAAGAACTTTATACTTATTTTTTATTGACAAAAGTGGTACTAAAACCTTCAGCAGAGTGTCGGGTACAACGGTAAAAAATTTCAGCCAAATCGGTACGGTGGTTTTCTCGGTTAGCGCGGTCGTAGAAAACCCCTTACAATTTTATATAATAGTATAGATTATAGGACCATTTATATACAAAAAAACCTCTAAATGTATTTACTATTATAGTTCTGATAAGACTGTAAATAATTACTTGTTTTTTTTTTTTGTAGATATTTAGGGAAAATTGCCCATCTTTTTCTGCTATCAGTAAAAACTTATTAAGCTATAAAAATGAAGAAAACTTAACAGAATTGTTGTCGTATTTAAGTGAAAAAGCTGGACAATCAATCTCCGAGATGGACTTAGTTAAATTATATGACTTATTTGAATGCCAGGCAAGTTTATTATTATAGCCTGTGTGTATATTTATATTATAATATACAATACTTACTTTATTATAGTACTTACCTGTATTTTATCAAAATAATTAAACAATAAATTACAATATTTTCAAAGATATCTGCCGGATTACAACTACCCGAATGGATTACTCCTGATAAATTCCAAACATTAAAATCGATTGTTTTGCACAGAAAACGCTTAGATAATTTTTTTGGAAATTCAAAAGTACAAAAGTTGGTCATAGGTAAGCCAAATATTTTATTCACATTTTATGATTAAAAAATAATCAAATATCTAAATTCCAAACTTTTGTTATACTCAAACATATGGTCAAAATGCACAGTTGAATATTTAAAATTGTAGTTTAGTCAATCAAAATTTGTTAAATGTAATTAAACTCTACATTTGAAATGTGCTTTCACATTGGATCAATGGAGAAACTAGTAAGTGATAGATAGTTAGGCACTTACTTTTGGTGAACAATATTAATATGCTATAAATACACTTGAACTAATTACTGAGGCATTTATTCTATTGTGTATTTTAAAACTATATTTTATCTTAAAGGACCTCTGCTGAAAGAGATTGCATTAACAATGGAATTACATTCAAATAACTCCATTAGCCAAAATAAATTGCGGAAAATGTATTTGTATTCTGGACACGATATTAGTTTAGCTACTGTAAAGGGGTTTTTTATGAATACTATTGATATGCCAGACTTTGGTGCTTCCATACATTTTCATTTATATCTTGATGAAACATTTGGTTACATTGTTAAGGTAAATCCAGTTTATTACAACATATGTAATAATAGTGATAACATCAAAATATGTAACTATATATATATATATTTTTTAGATATTCTATTATGACCGGTGGAATACAGAAAAAGAAGAAGAACTTCCAATACATGCCTGTGGTAATCCATGCCAACTCCAGAATTTTGTTAAAATTATGAAAGCAAATTTTCCAAGAGGGTGGAATGAAGAGTGTCAGATGATTGAAAATTAATATGATATTTATTAACTGTAAACAAAATATTTTATGATATATAAAAATATTATTTTGAATATATGTTGTTGAAAATTTAGTTAGGTAGGTACCTAGGTATAAAATTATAACCCACAATTCTAAAATAACAATAGTTGGTTATGGTAGCATTATAGCATAGGTAATTTATAAGTCACTTTTTAATTTGTGTGTACCTATACAAGGTGAACGATTTATTGGATCCATTAGGAAAATGTAAGAAATGTAGGTAATAGTTAAAAATATTACGGCCTTTTTTCCCTATGGACAACTTTTCTACCAATAATTTTGCTCCAACATATAATAATAGCAATGTTTCTTAAATGAAATCCGACTTGGAAGGTACTTTAGACATATCAATTTTTGATTTTTTCAGCAAATGTGAAAAACCGGGAAAATCGGTACAACTATATTCAAATATTTTAAAAGAAAATATATAAAGCAATAAAGCCTATTTAATTATTTTACTATATGGTATATACATTGTTGAAAAAGCATCACTTTAAACGGAACTCCGCTCAGAATTGTTTTAACAATGGCTGCACTCGTTCCCATGATCCTAGGACGTTTTTTTAAGTTTATTGTTATGAATAAAACATATTTTAAATTTAGTTATAATTATTAAAATTATAAGACTTAAGAGAAATGCTTAAAAATTTAACACAATGTAAATTATAAGTTGTACTTAGTGGTCTAAAAAACAAATTTAAGTTTAATGTATTAGTCGTTTTATTTTTTTCATACACGTTATTAAATCAAATTTTGACAAAGATCGAAAAACATTATGGCATTTCAAAATATGTCTTACCTAACTTTGATCTAATCGGTTTTTTTTTTTTGTTATTTTTAGGAGATTTCCGCCTTTTAGGGGGACAGTTTTAAAGAGGTTTTGCTGTATTCATCAAACATTTTCTAAAGTCAAGCGAATTCGAAACCGACCCTCAAGATCACATTTTTTGCATTTTCATGTATCTGTGGTGGCTCTCCATTGCTTTTCTTACGTCATGAAATTTAGGTTCATATTTAAGAAAATATTCTTGTATATCGAGATTTATGTTTACATCTAGGACTCTATCCTCCTTATAGTCATATCAGGTTGAAAATTTAGGTCTAATACTAATAATGATCCGTTTTATTTGGTATGAAATAATGAAGAATTACGTCATTTATGTAAAAATATTTCATATTACATTAAATCACTCTGTATACTAAATAAATCGAACAGCCAGGGGTACTCAACATGTTTAAATTAGTCTAAAATATTATACACTAATAAAATGAGAACCCCTAAATTTCACTAAATAATCACATAATTTGAAAAAATGAATTATGGACTAACATTTATTCTATAGATAATATAAATGTATTAGCAACAAAATTCGAATACACAAGAATATAAGAAAATATTTCCCGGGGAAAAAAAATCAATATTTTGAAATTCTACTCCAGGCAACAATGTACAGTTTATTGATTACCAGGGTCAGTCCATGTGGACGAAAATAGCCAAGTAGTAGCAATGCCAGTCTGATCTCTGCATGCTGTACCAAAAGTTTTGTGTTGTTCACATTGTTAAAAATAGAATTTTGTAATACGAAATGGAAGCACCTCTTATGTTTGAAGTGTTAATGTACCTTAATTCCTATTACTTTGGTATGTTCTCTATATTCGAATTTTCTCTTATATGTGCTAAATCAATAGATGATGCTCGTAAAAAAATATCATCGCTAGATGAACTTGTAACTAATATGACAGTGTTTGTGTTCCTCTGTCTCATTGAAGTGTTCCGTACGTTTTTATCACGCCGAGATAATGCAGCAGACAAGGCGATATGTGTTGTACTGTCACTTATTCTTACCGTGCCATCAGCAATAGGAGTTCTGTATTTTTTGTTGTGGCAAAAAAGAACATTCCGGCTTGAAAATATTCTAGGATGCATACAACTTGTGCTTCAAGCAACTCAAGTATTCTTTGGTATTGTCTCATTACTGACATTCAAGAGCAGTGATTCAACTACTTGAAATTGTAGTTCAAAAACAATTATTTGTTTACTTCATATTTTGTACATAAAAATAAGAGATTTATTTTTAATAATCATTGTCTAAGCAATTACCTGCCTATACTAATACTTTGAATGTTGCACGATTTGGAGCTTTTTTGTTTGTATACAGAAATTACAATATGAACATACAAATAATGAAATGAAAATAAAAACAATTCCAAATGTGGCCATAATATCAACAGGGTGATGATATCATATGCAGGAAATTATTGATAAAGACTAAAAAATAAAATATAAGTACAACGAATGTATTAATAAGATTATAGTTATGCATAAGCATACAAACAAAATCATCAAAACCAAAATATAAAACATGGTAAAAACGTATTTACAATAAAATCTAAGAAAATAATGTATACCTACGTTAGGAATAACTGGATCAAGTATTTTAAATTCTTAAATTAATAATTTATGTATAAAATAAAAAAAAACTTTGATAATACTTTTAACAATTAGTTTTGATAAAATAAAATTTGAATATTCTTTAATAATTGTTTTCTTTCTTTACATATATGATTATTATTACAGCAAAAATATTCAATTAAAACTTAGAAATAGTTTTGTAAATGAATAATAAACTGTACACAGGTAGAACTCGCAGATAAAACTAGACAATCTGTAAAAATTCTGGTTACTAATAATAAAAGACTGTTTATAAATACATATTATATTTTAAGCAAACAAACTTGGTACAATTGAACGATCATAAAAAGTGATGATAATAATGAATGGGCAAAACTATTTGCATATTAGTTACTTGATATTGTGTAAAGATTTTATGTTTTCATGTTAATGTGAAGGAATTTGATACTAAGTAGGTACCCTACAAGCAAGATTAATTCAGATTTACAATTAATAAATTGTATTAATTTTTATTATAAATTAATTAATAAATATAATCATAAATTAACTATTTTTAAACTTAATATAAAATTGTGTAGTACCTATAATATATACTGGAATGTTTATTTACTGTGAAAAATTAAAACATAATTATTACCAGATATTAATATTCACATTAGCATAACTAAAAGAATTTTACAAGATATTGCTTGTACCATAATGTGTAATGAGTAACAAAATATAATGGTGCATATGCACAGGATATTTATTCTTAAATAAATGCATACCTATGTAAGAAGACTGACATATTGGTGTTCCTCTTATTGATATCATGAACTACCTAAAAATGTTAGACACAATACAATAGCCAGTTTTATACAATGGTGGTGATTTCTTGGACTGTATACCTTCGTTTAAAATTAAGAATATAGCTAATAAAATGTTTGATAAATCTTTAATTAAAACTACTAACATTTTGAGTCGTGAAATTTCAATGATTCACTTGTATCATAGGACTATAACAAAACAAAATTTTAAATAATATTATAGAATATTAAAATTAACTTTATGTTAACTGAACTGTATGATTAATAATCAATTATTAACATTCATGGCCAAAATTTAAATACCTTGGAGATCATTTTTTCTTGAACTTTTTCCAAATCATATTTAGTGTAAAGTTAATTGATCCATTAGAACTAAGTAATAAAGGTCATTTTGGGTCTAGATTATGGTTATCTTCAAGCAATATTTTTAAAAGCATACTTGTTAAATGGTAATCTATTTATTGTTAAATCATATTTTTAATTATACACAATATTGATTGAAAATTAGTTTAAAACAAATAACTCTACCTCCTAAATCTTGATGCTTTGCAATTTTATAAAGCCAATATCCAAGGATTAGTATGAAACAATATCCCAGACTATTGTTCATATAAGTGCTTAGCAAAGATACATTTTGGTCATGATTTGATAACTTTGGTAATATATTTTGCAAATGAATTATTGAAATAATAGATATTAAAATGTAAAACCTAAAAATAAATAATAGTAAATTAATTTAAACAATAAACATATAAAATTAAGCATATTATTTTTTTACAATTTTTATATAGGTACCTACATACATTTCAAATTATAATCATAAAAAAATGATAAACACCTATCTCACGGAATATAGAAATTAAAAATAAATGTTTCAATAATATATAATTTAAATTATTAGATGTTCCATTGTTTTCATACACTCTCAATAGGTTTTTAAAAAAATCAAAAACAAATTTGTAGATACCTATGTATCAAATATACTTACCTGTATGACTTTACTGCTGAACTTGAATAATTATAAGAATTATTTTTACTGTATACATATCATAATTTAATGCATGAAAGAAATATCATTTCATATATCAGTTTCCTGAAGAAAATAGATATTTAAATTTAGAAGCACCTAGGTAAGTAATTATTTTATAATATTAATTTTCAGTGTAAAAGGTTATAATATTCTTGATAAAGAATAGAATACATTTATAATTTAACTACAAGTCAAACTTAAATCGTATGGATTAAAATTAGTAAAAACATTTTTATAAAATAAAATAAAACAGGTATTTGGAGTGGTAACTAAGTAAAACATTAAGGTGAAGTATTTGGAATAAGTATTATGTTCACTGTTCATGTACACCAATTTTTAGGTACACTACTTTTCTGTTATCATGATTATATCATAATAACAAAGCATAACAGATAATAATCTAGGGACACAGTACATACAATTTTTGCACGGTACATTTTTTATCATTCTATTTTATTACAATTTGCAATAGATATATGAGGTAATAATATTAAATTTATAATTCATTATTCAAATATGCACCTTCATCGTAAAACTTGGAATTTTAATTATTGTATATTTTAATTTTTAATTGATAACATTTTACAAATTTTCTGTGTATAAATAATATTTATCATTATTATATGATATTATTGACTTCTATTTAAAAATTCAAAATTAATATAGATAATTTATTCAAAGGAAAATTTTTCTTTCAAAAATAATTTTAAATTCTAATTTTTATTAGGAAGGTACTTTTACATAAATACACTCAATTAGAAATAAATGTTTTGTTAATGTGATTTTTTTAAAATACCATATGTATATTGAACATTTTTTAAACAATATCATAATTTAGGTATTGTATTTCTCGAGGTATTTCTATACCTTATTATACAATAACTTTTATTTAATTTGTTACAAATGTAAGTAAAATTGTCAATAAGTGATAAACATAATAAACTAAAGTGTTCAGCTTATAGTTATATAATTGAAAAGGATAGATTAAATTGGATTTTAAGTCTATGGATGTAAACATAAATAATCATAAATAGCTTCTACATAAACAGTTTATTAATAATTCATTTAATTATTTATTACCTCGCATTATATTTTCTAGAGCTTTAGTTATTTTATTATTATTTCACATAACAACAAATCATTAAAATTGCAAATTTAGATATACGCCAAAAGAATAATTGATGTTTTAGCAAATATTTTACAAAGTATTTATTTACTTAACTAAGAAAAAAAACTAAATATATATATATAAAAAAAACCTAATCAATAATTATAAAAAATACTTTAATAATATACATGGTTATTTTTGAATATGCTTGCCTGATTTTTATCTGTCTGTTTTATATGAGTCATCTATAGGGAAATTTTTGTTTTGAAACTTGCAGTTATCAAAAAATCAATTTTATGCTATTATCCATTAGTATTTAAAGTAGAATAACTCAGAAACTTTTTATTCAAATTTTGATTACAATACGTCAACATTCTCAGAAAAATCATTAGATTGACAATTGCATTAAAACATGTAGGATTTATTTGAAAAACTAAAATTGATATTGCACTATTGCCATGGAATACTCTCAAAATGTTTAGAAAATTTAATTATTAAAAATATAATTTTATTTAAAACCTAAAAATTCTAAAAATTAGAATTGGAATTCATGCATAATTTAACCATAACAAATAGATGAATATGCTTACAAAATCAATCTGCATTAAATACGTTTGAAGGAACATTTGAATTTATACATTTAATATAATTTAAAATAATTATAATATTCAGAAAAAAAGATTAGGTTATTTAAATATATATAATTTAATATTAAAATGTTTATACAATAACACACAATTTAATAAAATAGCAACAATAATATTTTACTTAGAGTAAATTAAAATTGATTACAAAACATTAAATATAAAAATTAATTTGAATAGAAATAAAAAATTAAACATTTTGTCAGTACTTAATATTTCACAGTATAAAAACATAAATTTTAATTTTGATAATTTATTACAGAGATTTTATAACAGTACTAAAAATGTAATACCTTATCTCAATCTTAATCTTAATTTTTAATATTAAATTTGGTTACAGTATAATTAAAAAATTCAAATAAACATTAAAATCTTAAAAACCTTTTACGTCAATATTGAAAAAGGTACAGTTTGTACTTTTTATATTTATCAATTAACGTAGGGTAGAAGAACTGCATTGAGATTGTAATGCACAAATTTCATCTTTATATTTATCAATAGTCTCTCTTAATTTTTTCAAACGCTCTTTGTACAAAACTGTAAGATCTTGAACCTTTTTTCTGGCTTTTACTAATTGATTAACTGTATTTTTTTTTATTTCTTCATCTAGAAAAAATAAGACACCATAAAGTACCACATATTATAAATAACAATAATGATATAAATACTGAAGATAAAATATAAAGGTACATACAATGTAAATTTTCTTTAGCAATCTGAGGATTATTACTCAATGAATCATTCAATACGTATTTCATATAAGTGGACGGATCTTGAAAAATAATTTCTTCATAGAATTCTGACAAGACAGGTTGTTCATTTAGTTCTGAATCTGATCCATTACTGTAAAGCTTTAGTACATGATAAAGTGTAACCTATAAAATACAAAACCAATGCATTACCTAAGTTAATTTTGATTTTATTTAAATAGAAAATAGTTTTTTGAAAGATAAACTAAGTAACTGAATAATTTTATAAATATTATTTATGTAGAAAAATATCTACATTTAATACAAAATCTATTTACTAGTAACTTTTGAGTATCTATTTACAAATTACAGTAGAACTTAGATAAATTGGAATAAATGTCGTTCTCTTATAAAAACCTCGATGAATCAAAAAAAACCATAGATAACTCGACCATTCTATGTTCCGAATATAGCGGATAATTTTTATAATCATTTGATTAATCAGCTTGTGCGTCCTATAATTTAATCTAAGAATTTTTTGAAGTGCAATATTTTAAAATAATAATAACAATACTATAATTATTTATACATAATATATACTATATAGGTAATAATTAGGGTATGGATGTTATTGCATTTGCAACTTTTTTTTCTACCTTTTCAATTTATTACTAAGTAGGTTTTAAATACGTTTCATGTAAGTACAGATTCAAATCTAAAAGTTTTAAGTGCAATATTTTTTAACTTTATTGCAATTTTGTTGAATTTACTCATTTCCCAACTATTTTAGCTAGTCAACACTCGACAATCGTATAGATAAGATTATACTATAATATTACTATCCATAAAATCTAATAATGGTATTATATTTTTATATTGATAATTCCAAGTTGGTAGGTAATTAATACAATACAAAAATAATTTGTGAAATGTGACTGTTTGATTGTTATAATTTGTTCTTCAGTCACTCCGTGAATTTTGAGTATTCGTGTTCTTTTATTGTTTTATAAATATGCATAAAATTAAGCCAACTATTTCCATTTTTGTAAAAAAATTGTTTGTTTTTAGTGCAATACTGCAATCAATTTCAATAGTTTTTTACAACAACAATATCCGTGCTTTAGTAAAAATTAAAAACTTTAATACATACATATACTTTAAAAACTCTTGAAGTCGAATTTTTTTTCTAAAATCTACCTACTCAAAGCCTTAGTAAGTCGAAAAAAATTGCATTTCCTTACAATTTCGAACTATCGAGGTTTCACTGTTTTTAAACAAGTATACACAAAAATCTATGATAGGTAATCATACCTATTTTTGTAATTGTATTTTGAGTGTAAAAGTAAAATTTTATTTAAGTCTTAAAAAATATAGGTTACATACTACAATTTTTTCTTACTGGTCTTTCACTAGTGTCTTGGAAAAATATCTTAATAACTAATTCAAATTCACCCCAGCCTGTTTCAGAGATCTCAAACGGTGGTTTTTGTACCACTCGAGTTGGAGTTTCATAGCTGTCGTGCAATTTGAAATGAACTTTTTTGACCCAGGTACCAATATCTTCATCAAGATAAGGTTTGACATATACAGACCATTTGTGAGTATGACCATCTTCAGATCTTTTTTGACCAAAATATTTAGCGGTATTTCCATATATAATTGCCTTTACAATAGAAGTTCCCTACAAATAAAAATAAATTATTATTATTATTATTTAATACTTTTTTTCAAAAAATAACCATCATATTGTTCAACCAAATAAAATTGAAATATGAACTAGGTAAGCTAACTTACCTTCACTCTAGTTGAATCATTATTGGTGGTCATTTTTAATATATGTTTGAATTGTTTAAAAGTTATCTCAAAACTTAAATTAAGGTTCCTTGTCTTACAATTTGAAATTAACCATGAAGACTAGAGAACTGAGAGTTACACATCTAGTCTTCATGAAATTAACGTTTAAAAATACAAATTGTATGTTTGACGTTTGATTATTTTTGATCTCCGATATCATTAAACATTGATAAGGGACATGCAGTTTGCTTGAACTGGTGTATTGTTTGCCGCACGGATTGAAGTTGGTAACAACAGCTTTATTCATTTTAACCACGGTTATAGATCTATAATCTCAGTAATAACCATAGATAATAAAAACATTATTTGAGTAGGTATAATAAAATACCATCCGTTTTTAAATTAAAATGAGTTAATTAAAAGAAAATATTTTTTTTCATCCATTCAATATTGTAATGAATATTATATATTTATTTGCATGACATAATTATTACACATAAAATAATGATATTTTTTTTATTTTCTAAAAATGATAACCGAAGCATCATATCAAGTCAAATTATTGGTAATTCGTATTATTAAATCGTGTCTATTATTTAATTGATATACTTTATTCATGAATAATAATATTATTCATGTCTAAAATGTGTTAGTTTTGTTAATTTTGAACGCATAGTGATGTTGTCTTTAGCCTTCTTTACCTCGTGAAAAAACCTTTCATTATAAGATGTTTTACAATTACATTTATTTATCATAATGTGTATCAGATTGAATTGTTTGATCAAATTAGGTATTTGACTTATTTTTAATACATTGCATGTTATTGAAACATTGAAAATTTGTTTTCACGTTGGTTATTAAGAAATGTATAGATTTTCTTTTATCGGTGAAGTCATTTAAACATTTTCCAAAAATAGTTTCTGTTTCAAGGCATATAGTTAGTACATAGTTACTTTGTACATAACTGACTTTAATCCATAAACATTAATGTCTCAACTCAATGTCCGTTTTAAGCATAGATCAAAAACAATAGTTCCAGATAGTAACGGCGGGAATGATAACAAATCTTATCAAAAATTACCTTGGCGCTCCTAGGCGCTTTGACAATTGGCCTCAGTTAGCCGCCATTCCGATGACCGAGTCCCTATTGAAATGTATAGATGTAAACACTATACCACGTGCACTAAACTAGCCTATTATAGAATAGGCTATAGACATGTTAACATGTCTATGGTATATTATTTATGGTTTTAACACAGATATATATAACATGTAGGTATACAATAATTGTATACATCTGTGGGTTTTAACAAAAAGTATACTTACAATCTAAATTTTCTTTACATAGATTTTACACGGTCCGTACTACAGTCATATTATTATTTAATATGTACATAGACATAAGAGGTATTTACTTAGAAAGTCTATGGCTATTCAATACAAGGTTTCAACACAGAATATATGAAATTCATCTATTTTTTGTTTTAAATACGCCATTTAATTCTACGCTCTTGGGCCTTATCGTCCACTTTTATATTGTGATAGATTATAAAAGAATCTTTATTTTCTAGGAATATTTTTTACAATCACGGTCTTGGACACAGCGGCAACAATAGTAAAAATGTTATCTAAAGTGTACTTGAGTATTTTTTTTTTTTTTCTACGGACGTAGGTAGATAGCTAATATTTTTGTTTACAACATAAAGGTTTCAATCAGGATCAACGGGCCAAGTTTCAATCTTGAATGATATAGATTTTCGCGGAGCGCGTAAAATCGCGGAATGTACAAATTTGATATGCAAACATCTGGAATCCAAGGTTTTACGGCCATCAAAATCCGAGCCGTACAAACTTGGAATGCTAAAGTCCAGCATGTACAAATCTGAAATGTAACGAATTGAATTTCAGCGAAATTATGTATAGGTGGCCAAAAGCCTCGTCTCGCGCAATGAAATTTATATTTACTTTTAGAACATTATCCTCCTTGCCGTAGTATCCGGTTTGGGTTTATGTTAAACGTAGAATAAATATGTTTTAATCTATGATGTTAGGCAAGCAGTTATTCCCATACGTACGCCTACGATGTGGGTCGCGCAGTACGCAGTGGTGATGATCAAAACAAGACCAAAACTTCCAAAATCTTGGTATTGGTTTTACGCAAGACTTGTGAGACTTGCTATCTTCACAAAATGTATGAAAAAAAAAAAAATGTTAAATACCTGTTTAGGGCCTGTTATACCTGTGTAGAATTTTTGCTACGACTTCTAAGATGAAACTTTAAAGGTCCAATGTATATAATATGCTAATAATGCATATTACTCTGCGCTACAGTTTATGCATGGACATTTTTTTGAGGGGGTAGGGAAATTAAAATAGCAAATTTTTAGAAAAATGTCGGCGTTTGAAACTTTAGTTTAGGTATGGTGTTTTATTTTTGAAATGTATTGAAGTTTTTTCAAATGTGAATATTATAAACCACAATAATATTCACATTTGCAAATTCGTAGAATAGATCTAGTTAGTGACTAAGAAAGTCGTTTATTAGGTTTTCTTTGTAGTTTTTTTAATAATTGAGCAAAACCGAAAAATACATTTACTTCGTTTAACTAACGATTTTAAATATTGTTTTTTCAATAATAATTTAGTTTAAAATATTCGTTGAGAATTGAAATTTCGACAGAAAACTTATATTTGTTTTTTCTAGATATGATCAATTTTCAAAATATTTGAGCCATTTTTGATCTATTTGTAGACAATTTAATTTTACGAGCTTTTCACGTCATTTTTTTTTCAGTAAGTAATCTGTGGATAGAATTGTTAAATTAAACAGAAATACTTCAAAATTTGACAGGATGCTCTTTAAAAGTCGTACTTGGTGGTCAACTAAAAATTGGAGTGTAATGTAGTATTTCTAAAATCAAATTTTGACGAAAATTGTGAATATTATGGCCTTTCAGAACACGTGTAACCGAACTTCGCTCCGAATCGTTTTTCGTTATCAATGGTTTATCGTTGTTTACTTGTATAAATTAAATAACTTTATGCATACCACCGTCCCCGGTATCGACTCTTTTTATTATTGTATTATTTGAAAATCCGTTGACTCCTTACCTATGTATTCTGATAAAATTCCCATCCATCGCACATCCATAATATTATGTGTCGTCCAGTAAGACATCAATTTATACAATATTATTAATTATTAAAATAACAAGCAGTCAACAGTCAACCCGTATTGATTTTATAATAGCTAGGCTATATTATAGGTACGCGTTAGTTCGACAGTATTAGTAATTCGCTACTACTTTGTCTGTTGTTATTACTATAAAATCAATGATAGAAATTTCGGCTTTACGATTGTATTATTTCTCGACTGTATAACCGATCACAAGAATGATAGTACAAATTAGAGATGAGTAACAATGAATAATAACTTTCGAATTACTCGATAGTTCCTGCGAATGAGTTATGCGAATAATCGTTATCGATTATTCGAACAATGTTTATGCATTACAATAATTTTTACTCATTCGATGTTTTCATTCATTATGTAAATATATTATAATATAGGATATTTAGCCACGTTTATTATTTTATTCGAATAACACCCTGCTGAATTTATCTGAAAATGGCCCATTATTAATAATGTAAGTATTTGAATAATTTGTATGATTCACAAACAAATACAAATTATTCAAATAAATAAAGATAATTTCAATGAATTAAAATTATTAGAATAATTTACGAAAGTACGAAAAACGCAAACGAATAAGTTGTTCGATAGATAGTATAAATAATCGAATATTAATCGTTAGTACGCAGATGGTATATGGTTTCCGCCGTCATTTTTTAATTTCATCGAATTCGCCGAATGTATCTTTAACCACTAGATAAGAATCTTACCTAAGGTTCTTAAACCGTTTCTTTGATTCTTTACGGGTCTCTTAAAAGTTATAAAACTTTTGTCCATACAGTACCTAATCGATGTTTTTTTATGTGTAAAACACTGCAGTTAACACTGAGCAGGTTATTAACCGTTGGTATTAATGATGTTGTTTTAGATTCTGAATGTAGCGAAGAACGTATTGGTTTTACAAAGATTTTTTTTGTTTTTTTTTTATACTATTCCAAAAATGTCTACTAGACATTTTGCTCCGATATGTACGTATAGCGTCATTTCTGAAAGAAACTATTGTCAAGATTTTCAGACTATTGTCTAGTCTTTTAAGCAGTTTTAATAATATCTGGGAAAAACCACTATACAACTTAACAAAAACGGAAAATTTACGAAAGTAATGTTTTTATTGTTTTCAATTTTGTTAATTGTTCAGTTGAAAATAATCGTAGAGACTTGAAAATTTGAATAGAGGATTATATTTACCTTTTATAGACATGTTCAAATTTTTTAAATTTTCAGCTTTTTTTGAACTATTTATAGACATTTTAATTTTTGTAGTTTTACACGTAATTTGTATTCGTTAGGTACCTATTCTGTGGTAAAATTATCAGACTAAGCAGAAATGCTTGAAAATTAAACAGGAGGTTCATTAATTGTCACGCTTTATGGTTGAAACAAAAAAAAAATGAGTTTAATGTAATTTTTTTTATAAGAATTTTTATTTTAAATTTGATGAAAATCGTTTTAATAAAAAATTATATGAAAAAAATCTAGTTACTGGTACATAAGAATTATTTCAATATAAATATTTATTTTACTATAATATTATATATGTATATTGAAAAAGCAATACTATTAATCCAGCTCCGCTCAGAATCGTTTTTAGTTAGTAATGATTTATATTTGCTAATAGATATATATTAAATTCCCCTCTATATTCTATCTTCCCAACTTCTCATCTATAATAGTGGTCCACCCATAGTGCAAAATATGTGCTTTTTTTGTTGTAATTTGGTCGAAAATATTTGTAGACTTGCAGACATTTTTACAGAATACCTTTCTGTAAACGCGATCAAATTTTCAAAATGTCATGTTTTGGCTATTTAGTATTTGAAATTTTCGATAGTTTTTTATTTTTTATTTTATGTGAACATCATTGTAGAAATGCTTGAACACAAGATTCGTTATAAGTTGTACTTAGTGGTAAAAAATGTTGAGTTTTATTTAGTAGATTTAGATTCCAAGCGTAGCGAGGGAGTTATTGGTTTTACAATGCTATTTATTTTATCTTCTTTTTTTTCTTCTTCTTTGTTCTAGTCTATGGACACGTTTTTTCCTAAGTAAACTTGCTTCAATTTTTATGTGTAAACATTTTTTTAAAAGCTCAAGTTGTTTGAATTGTACTTTAAACAGGTCTTTTTGATTTGATTTTTTTCGACGTCATTTTTTAAATGAATGCACTTAAGTGGAAAAAACGTAGGAAAACGTATTATCTCACGATTTCATTATTTTATAAAAACACGGACGAAGTTTTCTACCAGAAAAAATGATTTAATCGAAAAATTACAAAATACCTTTTTTGTTGACTTTTTGATTTAATTTCTTATGGTATCATCGCCAAAACTTTCAAGCCACTTTTGAGCTTTAAAGAAATTTTAAGTTTTGGGAGTTTTTTTTTTACTGTAATTCGGTTATAAATACACGTAGAGACTCGAAACTTGGTAATAATACTTATATTAAACTTACATAGACGTGGTAAAATTTCCAAAATCATCAGACGACTTTTTTTTTTTTTTAATAAGCGTTTTGTAATCAAATTTAAACGAATATCGCAAACAAAAATGACGGCACTTTTAATTATATATTACCGTATTGCGCTCGGTTTCGTCCTACGTCAAACAATGGTTTATCGTTGCTTATAGATATAAATGAAATAACCTTATGTATCCTACCTTCACAACTTCTCACCTACAACAGTGACCGCTCCCATCCCCAGTATCAGATCTTTTTTTTTTTTATATGAGCAAAAAATGAGTTTAAATTTCCAATTTCGACGAAAATCGGAAAAACGACGGCATTCCCAGTACGTATAATTAAACACCTCTGTGAATTCTACGGTTTTTTTTTTTTTTGTATTAGTTTTCACACTTACAGAAGTCCTCTGGCACTGATGTTATTTAATTGCATTGTATATCGCAGTCCACAGAAAGAACGAAGGGCTCATTTTGAATCGCTTGCCCCGAGGCCCAACGCGTTTTTAATCCAGGCTCGGATGCACCGGGTATTTATGGGTTGTTTCAAGTTGAAACATAATTAAAATACAACAGACAATAAATTTGTTACAATGTTTTATATTTTACGAATACTTAAATATCCAAAAACTTTACGTATAGCATTTCAAAGTTCGCAAGGATGTAACAATTTCGCATGAAATTATTCCAAACACTGTCGATGGCGAACCGCGGGTTATATTGCCCGTGTGAAACTAAAATAAAATCGTTATACCTACGCATTATATTAATAAACCGTGAGTTATTATCTAAAACCATTATGTCTAATGAGAAATAAAAACTAATAGCCGTCTAATCACTTAGATTTCTGTTCAATCTTTGTAGGAATGACGCCACATGGACAGGTGACAGAAGAATCTCCAGTCGTACGCTGCTTCGGCTTTTCGAATCATCAGGTCGGGATTATCGCTCAGCGGCAGAGCCGCGGAAACGAATAGATCGACGGCTTCGGCCGAATACCCGAATTCCGCCAGAACGTCCACTTTGCACAAAACTTTCAGTCCAGCCAATCGACACTGTTCTTTGAAAGTGCTACCGACGTACTCCAAACGAGCCACAGCCGTCTGGAAACATTCGTGCCGTTCCTCTCTTATCCCCCCATGGACCTTGTTTTCCCCGCAATTATAATAGTACCCATCTTCAACGTCCATCATCGTTGAACCGCCCCACGGTGTTTTCAACGCTGTCCTCCGGCCACCACCGTTTCTCGCAGTGGCCACCAGGTCTGTGTCAGATAGACATCTCCGAATTCGTCCTGCAGATTTCCGTCCACCGTCGTCACCGTCCCTGTCAACATGTTCAGTGTCCCGTCTATAACGGAACACAGTCGCCCGAACGGCGTCGCCTTCAATTCGCTCCGTCCGTTTGACCACGGCACACACGTCCACGGTACTTCTCGTTTTGTTGAGCAAATTGAAAAACATTTTTTTCGTCTTTTGCTTACTCGCAGTTTCGTTGACGCGACCGCTGTTAATCTCGACAAACTTCAAATGTTTATCTCCATAGTCGTCAGAATTGGCTCTCGTATTGTTAAAACTATCTCTTTTTTCGGTAAATCGATACTTGATCGTGTCTTCCTGTGGGTCGGTCGTTTTGATTTTCCTAGACTCTCTGTGCTTGATATCCTCTAAACAATGCAATAGGCCCTGCCACTTGTTCAATTTTTGATTGATGTATGTTGTATAATCCTCCAACACTTGAATGTCGAGTTCGTTTTGATTTCCTCTGAACGCGTTCTTAAAAAAGTCTATAAACTTATTTGACGGTCCAAATTTTGGAGACTGCTCATTTATACCAATACTCATTAATAATCTATCCTTTTCCTTTAACGATTTAATGAGTTTTTTAACTTTTTGTTCCATTTGTCTCGCTTCAATATCTAATGGATACATATTATATTTATTATTAATGATTTTTTCTTTGTAATTTACTTGATTTGAATTTTCACCAATATTATTGTTTATAGGATCCATGCTTGGGTTATGGTGGTTTTTTATTTTTTCTACAGAGTCCAACCATTTTTTACATTTCCACAAATCTTCCCCGACTGACGATGCAGATTTATCAAAAGCGAATGATTGTATTTTTTTATTTGGTTTTTCATGTTTATTCATATGTTTGTAAAAAGATAAGTTTTTCAATTTTTTCTTTCGAGTTCGTTTGTTCCCTTCAGTGTCCAAAATTGTTGAACAATATTCATTAGTAGTGCAATCACTATCATTAGTTACTACTTCAGAAATGTGTTGAATAAGTGGATCAACATTATTTTTACTTTTTAAAGAATAATCATTAACCTTGTTAAAGGTTTCTTTCTTTTGAAATTCTCCTGAAATGAGTACGTTATCTCGAGTGGTTTCTGTTTCGAAACCAATGATGTTTTCTTTTTCAAACAACGATAACGGTGTTTCAAAGTTGGATTCCAAACTGTTTACTCGTTTTTGAGTTTCATTTACTTCCCAAAATTCAAAACATAACCGAATAAGTTCTTTTTGATAATTTTCCCAACCATCCAAAGACAATAGTTGTGATTTTTTAACCTCGATTTTACTATCTACTTCAAATTTAAACGGATCATGTTTTCGTATGTTATTATTTACATTATTTTCTATCTTGTTAGTATAATTATTTGAAGTAAGTGATTGTGTATCGTATTTTTCCATACTAAAATTTATGTAGATTTTTTTTAGGTAAATCTTCGTATTTAAACAATAATGATAATTTGTATAAATTAAACACAAAATAAATTACCTATCTTTACATAAAATTAATTCGAGGAAAATATTTTTGTGGTGTTGTGAACGATTTCGGTTTTCTTTTTTTTCTCTCTTTGTGGTTTACTTTTCAATTGATTTTTCGTATTATTTAAATTTGTATCGTCCTTATGGAATACCCATGTTTTATCAAGTTCCCAATTATTATAATCAGATTTACTGCTGAATTTCGTTTTCAATTGTTTGGCCAACGTATTTTTTGTTTGTTGATGTTTCTTCTCATTAGTTTTATTGAATTTTTGAATTTTATTTTGTGGTACAAAAGACAATTCAAATTGTTTTATTTTTTCATGAAAATTGTCTTGTTTTTGTTTTCTATCATTAATTGAGTCATTCGAATTGTCAAATTGAAGATTATTTGTTATTATTGGTTTCTTCAATATTGGCTCTTTAATTTGATTAAATTTGTTTATAATTGCAATTTCATTTTGATGTTTTTCTACAATGTTTTGATGTGTTACCTTTGTATTTTGATTATCACTAAACGATTCAAATTTTTTTAATTTTTCTAAAAAATTATTTTTTATATCAATTGATGGTATTATACCCTTAACTGGTGCTGAAGATATTTCAAAATTACTATTGTTATTTAAATTTTTTTCCTCTCTTTCGGAAGACTCCGAATAATTTTCTAGAATCAACCTTCTCCGTATTAAATGTTCGGTTAGCTTAGGGTCCATTTTAAATCATAATATAAATAATACTTGCAATAATATTTCAATTGTATCATCTGAAACAAATTTAAATTTACCATTAAATGTATGCAGTATTATATACTGTATAGTATATATAGGTATATATATATATATATTTACTTAGCATCTCTAATTTCGATGGAATCGTTACCAAACAGTTATTATAATTGAATAATTTGAATGAACATAGTAATAGTTAGTACCAGATTGTAACTTTAAATCGATATATATGAAAATATTCACCCATTTTTACCGTCCCAACAATTATTTTACAAGTAGATATAAAATTTATGCTGCTTTTCTCAGATTTGAAAATTCATAATTAACTAAAATACTATACAAATAGTGGAGAATATGTTTAATAAAATAATTATTGTGAAGGAGTTATTTATGATTTATAATTTGTTATTACATTTAAGATGTATTTTTTTTTTTCAGTTGACTTGTAATCAATACATGTAAACGAATAGTTTATTTTCAAATTTATCGTACAAGTAATAACCAAAAATCATAAATAAGTAAAACAGTGAATTGATTAAAAACAAAATTAGTAAGTATACTTAAATATAATTTATCATTACTTGATAACTGATAATTTAATCAGTCATTTACATCTGACAGAATGTCGACTAGGTACTTTATAAAATTAATATATAATTTTAATTATTATTTGACACGCACAGTTGTACATTAAAATATCGTTAAGTATTTTGTATACGATTACAGTATACTCGCGGGTAATTAAGTACCTATCTTTAATGTTGAATATATTATTGTTCATGTTTTTAATAATTTGCTTTGAATTTTTTCTTTCTAAACTTGTTATTATGGGTTATTATTGGCATCTCGAAATTGTAATTTGTATGGGTGCTTAAAAATTATAAAAATATTAATTAAATACACAAATTAAAATTAAAAACGTTTTCTCAAAAAAACAACCATTAACTCGTTAAAAAATAAATATTAATATGTATACTTTTCTGTAGGTAACAATATTTTTTAATATATTATTTCTAAAACATTAATTTTTTTTATGATCCCTTTTTCTCTCTTTGTACTTTGTACTCCTTGTACCAAAATCAATAAATGAGATACCATTTTAATGAATAAGTCACCTTCTTCCGAAGAAGTATTAGTACTATTATTTTCGAACAGTGCAATCTATTATTATTATTTAAAAATCAAAATAAAATAAATGCTCCGGTCATGTGTAATATTAAATGTACACTATTTTGCATGGGTAACAACTGTACTTTATCGTTTTACAAATAAAACAATTGAACTTGATATCGGAAATACAATAAATGTACAGGTATTGGTCAATACGATATATTTATTGTATTATTTTAGTTTAACGAAAAATATAGAGTAATCCGGATATTTTTTCATCCTACAAAATGTTTATGCAGATCAGTATTTTACCCTGACGAATGTGAATTTTTCGCACGGGTCAACTAGTTTTAATCACATTACAGGTGAAGGAATTACCTACGGTATTGTAACTTTTTACTAATATGTTTTGCTTCACTTTTGGTTCCTTAATAAACCTGTTGACCGTATTGTCAATGTTTATTATTTCTCGTTCAAATACCACCTATGTATATGACACGGGGTAAATAACTGATTTATATTTTGTATTTTTATTGGTCAGCCTACTCGTGTAAGATTGTGAATCAGGATTATCTTATCGCCAATCAACTAGAAAATATCGTTTAATTAGTCAATCTTTAATGTACAATATGTGTATGACCAGCCGAAAATATTAAAATTGGTTTAGTTTTCGTTTTTCGTTGCGTTCGATCGTATTGTATCGTCGCTGTAGCCATTTGGGTATAATGAAACGCCATCGCCAAAGTGAAATGTTTACTTTATTAATAAAAAAAAAAAAACAAAAACTCTGCAACAATAATACCAATTATTACTGGTCCTACTTCTAATAATACTAATGGTACGATACTGGACTGTGTACGATGAGAGCAGTGACACAATTATAGTTTAAGGGGTACGGGCACAGTGTAATTATATTAAGCCCCTTCCAAGATTAATTTTTGTGCTAGCGTTTTAGACAATTTCAGGTTTTTTTTTCGACACGTTTTACTTCTGTTTGTATATCAGACACATTTCTACGTTGATCAATACTGTTAACGTTGATACACTCCAATTTATTGATCTTTGTAGCAGTTCATTATACTTATGGTATGTCGCGGCCTGCGAACACTGCGCTGCTCCGCACACAGCGCACACCCCCGGGCATTTGCGACACAGTGGACGGGAGAAAATCGTTAACATCGGGTGGTTATTTATTAAATACCCATACTAAAATTAATTTAAAACCAGAAGACGTTATAGATTTGTCCGTAAAACAAACTCCTAGGCGTTTGCAATAATATTATATAATATTATTATTCTAGTTTTTTTTTTTTTTGTCTACATATTTTTAATTATAATTTTGTAATAGGTACCTACTAAATTTCAGTGCTATGATAAAGTATATTTTACTAATGTACTCATGTGTTTAATACTACAATGAAAACCTTTGTTCTCACAAACGCAAAAAAATCCTAGATTCACCACTTTCACGAGGACACGGAGTTCTGAAAAGGTTAATTAGGGAAAAAGTATTCGAATAGTGTCCTACTCTGGCAATAATATTGAATAGCTAAATGTATGATAAAAAATATTTATCCTCGTGGCACTTTGAAACCTTTGCAGAAACGCAGAAAACCTTAAGAATGCATTTTTTGAATTTTAATCAGTCACATAATGCACAGAAAGTTAAATTTTATTTTCAACGGTAGTTTTACATAATATTGAAGATAATGATTTTTCATCCCCCTTGTCTACGCCACTACATTTAGCTGATAATAGCTGGTATATAGAAAAAAAAAAACAAAATAAAATGACATAAGCTGTTACTTAAATTTTACAAAACTTGCAAATTTCATTTCCAATCGTCTCAGTTGACTCTGCCGTAGTAATAAATATTGTATAATATAAACGTATTTTTTTTTTATTTATTTTTTTTAATTTCACGGAGTGCCCAATCAAATTACGCAGTACATATAATAATACCACGGCCAAGAGTTTTTATAAAAACATTCTTCTGATATTCAAATAAGCCCCCGAAACTACTATATACGTATACATAAATACATAAATATATACACGGATATTTAACGAGATTAAATATTACAACTGGGGGATTTAGAGTCCGGAGTACCTATATATTACAAGGAGTATATTGTTCTGTACCCGCCCGTTCGAGTATCAAACATATTTCCACGGGTGGATAGAATTACGGATAAACTCCTGCTTGCAGTGTTTCTGTAAGTGTAACTTAAAGTATGTAATGTAATAGTATTGGAACGAGGTACTTACATTTCAGAACACTTGCATTAATTGTGTACGTTTGCAGTGTAATCGGTGATAAACGCCAATACTGGTATGAGTAATGTTATTTCAGTGCGAAAATTCACATTCGAAAACCCCGTCAATGTACGCTGACTATTTTTTATTTTTTCTACTTCTTAAAATTAATAATTTAAACGACCGTTTTTTAAAACGTCGCGTAAAACGGGTGCCTATGCAATTTACTAAAAAAAATGTCCGAATAGCAGACGCGGCGCGTAACACCGACTGGTAATCGTCCGATCACTTTTGTACACAGGTGCCCACTGTTTAATGTTCGGTTAGATACGTAACGCACATTATTACTATTGCAATGCATAGGTATACCTATATAGCTAACCGTGTGTGTTAGCCTATACGTGTGTTGTTTATTTATCGATCCCGTACCGCTTTATTTTTTTTATTATAATAATATTGTATATATTATTATAAAATCCTTCTTCGTTTATTTAATCGTTTTGTCTTTTATTTTTTTTTTTTCGTTTCTAGTTCGTGTTCCATACGTAGTACAATAATAATAAAAAAAATATGCGCGTATAAATATTTTGCGATCGCGGTGTTATTATTATACGGGTCTGTACCTATTAGTTTTGCGATAAAAAGGATTTATTTGTTTTATTATATTAATATCGTCAATATTGTATACGGATATCTACAATATTGTGCACCTATGCGTTATTGCCTGTTTTTAAAATGACGCAACTGTCGTACAACCCAACAATATTATTATATTGTTGTTGTTATACGAGAACGATTTTACAATATTTTTTTTTTTTACCGGCATTTATATTAGGTATGGGTACGCCCAATGCTAACTAATCAAACGGTATATTATTTTAACCGTACGCAGGTATGATTAATAATTATCCTATTGTAATACTTAATACAATTTTTTTTTTTGTTATTATTATTACCGTACTTTGTTATTACGCGGAGACGATACCGCGAGAACAATGACTATTATTTTGGTCGTTTTTTTTTTCTGACAAATCAATACATTGAACTCGTTATAATAATATTATATTCCGGATTTATATTATATTCCCTTAAAACACTTAAACTATGGTGTTAATATTCTCTCAAAAAAACCTACAAATATTATTTTTACATTATGTTAAAAATTAGAAAAACAATCAATATTATATGATTTATAATCAAAGGGCGGATTGGGCCATCGGGAATTTGGAGTTTTCCCGATGGGTTGCTTCTTCAAATAACTATTTTAAAAAGTATTTATGTAAAAATATTATACTGAAATACTGATAATACCTTTTTTTCAAGGAAACGTTTTATTACTAGTGTTACCCAAATTGACTATCCGAGCTATTGGTTTTTTTACATTTCTGGGCAATTATCACGGTAGTCGGCTATTTAGTTGTTTATATATCAGCCCTAAATTTTAAATAAGATTCACCACGTTTGGGTTCTTGATTCTTGGGGTCATCCAAGTGAGAGTAAAGTACTTATTCTGTTATGGACAATAGCTTTCCTATTCTATTGGCAACAATTTTTATACGATTCTTCATACAGTCATATGGCAAAGGCACGGCGTCTAAGACGAATGGAAACATATTGGTTGGATTTCACCAAATACAAATATTTCCCACGGCAAATTCGATTTGAATGCTCTGACGAACGACATAATGTTTAGTCTGCGTTAAGTATTTAACTGACAATGCGTAACTACAATAATAGTTCTAACATATCGGGCAAATATAACATCGAAATGATAAATCAACAATAATATACTTCCTCGTTCTCAAAGTTTAATGTTTTCGTTACGACGAAAACTTCTTTCTGATTTTTACAAAAGTTTCAAACGGTTTATATATAATTGTTTTTAACTCCGAAGGATAATCTATTATATTATTACAGTAAAAATTATTATTCAATCAATACGTATTCCATATTATTTTATATTAACCAACCGTATAATTAATGTACATTCTTATACGTTTTTATAATATTATTAATAATAATTCATTACGAATCAAATAATATTTATAAAAGTAAAGATATTAAATTTCAAACTGAAAGTAGGTAAATGCGACTTTCTCTTCCGAAGAAAAAATTATACGCGATTCACTGTTTTTCATGATTTCGGCTCACGAAAAGCGACAAGTGTACACATTTAAAACTAAATGATTAAGTTTTAACGGTCGCACTTATTTTAAAAAGCAATACTATATTGGCCGAGTTCCGCTCAGAATCGTTTTTCATTAGCAACGATTAATCGTTGTGTATAAGGCACAGATTCCCTCTATGCCCTATTTTCCCAACTTTTCATCTACAACAATGGCCCACCCGTGGTGCAAAGTACGTTCATCTTACTACTCTTACAATTTATCGCTCTTATTATCATGTGGCGCACGAAGGCGAAACGGCTCGTACCTGTTTGGCTATACGAGTACCTATTACGCGTGTTGCGTACATATCAATTACCTATACCATTGGTTTTATAATTTAAGTACTATAAAATATTATAAACTCAATGACTACATTATACTGTACAAAATTATAATACAATCGAAATTGACATGGCCACCGAATGCATATACTCGTATATAGGTACGATTAGATTATTTTTAGTGTACCAGAGTAAAATATAACTGTTTTTCCGTCGTTTCCAAAGTATTTATTCAAATCGGTCGTCATTTAAGAAAAAAAATATTGATATAGTTTCAAGATAAATATACTGTTAATATGACGTAATACTCTCGCGTGCTGTCTCCGTGTCTTAAAAACGTGCGACGTAGCGAATTTGAGTTCAGTAGATAGAGACGAATTCGTTTTAATATTAATGTAAATCGATCCGTTATCAAACTTAAAGGTTAAGACAATTATCTGTGTAGCCTATGCAGTTTTTCGTCGACATTTTAATTTCCGAGCGAGATATGTGTAGGTGAATTATGAGATTTTACAAATGCTTTATTTTCGCTTAAAAATTAAAATCTCCTACACAGAATTGCACAGAAAATGTTCTTTACATTTATGTTCGATAATGGGTTGATTCACTTTAATGTTAAAACGAACAGCACATAGTTGTCTCTACTGAACGGCAATTTGCTACGCCGTACGTTTGGCAGTCACGGAGACAGCACATGCGGGTATTACGTCCTCTAGAAAACAATCGGTTTTAAAAAAATTATTTACCACGGATATTTTTTAATCGTATCGACTTTATAACGGAATTTATAATATTCTCTATATAAGGGTCACCAAATGAAACTGAATTTAAAATAGGTACTTAAACCAATTATGTATTACAAAACTATTTTCCAGCTTCTATTTTAGATTTCTTACGAAAAATATTAAATGAGTTTTATTTGTTTAATCCAAGTGCAATTCTATCTTACACCTTAAAAGGTTCTATAAAGTAACGTGAATATTTGCTACGTTGTGCGTTGTAGTAAGACTGTAGTTTACTCTCAAAAACATGTGTACTTACATTTACACCTATTATATTGTCATTTGATTTTTTGAAAATGATCGCAATCGCTTATTCGATAAATATGTGTAAATATGTGAAGGACGATGCAACTTTTTGACGACTTACCCTGCAACCTAACATAAATACAGTGAGTGTAAAATGTATTCGTACACCCTACTTTTTTAAATAAATATACATTTTTCTTCATGATATTCTATTTTTATTGATAAATTAATACATGCATATTATTCATTGACGATTTTTAATTATATTAAAAAAAAAAAAACCATGACAAATGTTATATTAATAACAATATTCAATAACAAATAAAACAATACATATAAAATAGGAACAATAAATAAACACTTCTATTTTAGTTACGGAATCACCTGTTTACTTACAATAATGTTATTAGAAAACGATAAGATATACAAAATTTCACATTAAAAGTTTGTCCCCGACCAAGTTACAAGATTATATCGATTCAGTTAGCTTCGAAATATTATTATTACATCTATCACAAAATGAGTTGAAAAAAATGCAATACCAATAAAACTGTACGTGTTTGTGTAAGTACAATTAGAAATTGTTTAAAAAATAGGGATTACCATGGACGAGTAGCTGGTCGAAAATATTTTGTAAATAAAAAAAATAGACAAAAGAGATTTGCTTTTCAAGAGATAACTTACATTAATCTGATAACTTTTGGAACAAAGTTATATTTACAGACGAAAGTAAATTTAATATTTTTGGCTCTGATGGTAGACGTTTTGTTTGGACAAAAGCGAATACAGAAATGGAACCAAAGAATTTACAGCCTACAGTGAAATACGGAGGAGGTTTGGGGATGTATGAATGCTCAGGGTGTTGAAAACTTGCACTTTATTGATGGAATTATGAACCAATATATTTATTTAAATATTTTGAAGACAAATCTTGTAGCCGAATCTAGTGCCGAAAAAATGGGCATCAAAGATGATTTCATATTTACACAGGACAATGATCCCAAGCATACTGCAAAAAAAGTTAAGGCTTGGTTGTCGAAAAATGTAACTGAATATCTTGTGACGCCACCACAGTTTCCAGACATTAATCCTATTGATAATTTGTGGGATTATTTGGACAGAAAAATTCGAGATCACAATATTTCAAGTAAGGAAACTTTAAAAAAAGCTCTAGAAGAAGAATGGAATAAAATCACAGCAGAAACAACACGTCATCTGGTTGATTCAATGTCTAAGAGGTTGGAAGCTACAATAAGGTCCAAAGGCTACCCTACAAAGTACTAAATAGGGCTATAATTTAAAGGCATTTTTTTTGATACAACTCTTTGTAATTATTATTATATTTACTATTATATATTTATTGTTTTGTTTGTTATTGAATATTATTATTTGTATATTTGCCCGATAATTGTTCTACTCGGTGCTGATCCCGTACATTTTTCTAGAGTATACTAAGATACATCGGGGCCTTTTTAAGCCCCGACGAAGAAAAAAAAGCCCCAAGGAAAAAATATAGTTATTAGCATCTTAAAATAATTTTTTTATAGGTATTGAAAAGGCTTGGAAAAAAGCCCAATTGCAAATTAATATAATACATTTAAAAACTAAAAAATTGCAAAAATAATTAGGTAGTTCAAGAACATGATTTATGTATATAAATGCTTATTGCCGACTTTTGTTGGAAATCTATTAATCTATATACATTTATCTTATTTTTCTAATATATTGAAAAACCCTATGTAGAATAGTATAAAATAATATGCTGTAGGTATAGGTACCAAATATATTGTATATTTGGACTCGGGGTTTTTAAATAATAATTTTAGTACATTTGTAGTCAATCTATTCATATCGGTTATTGTAAGAGTATCTGATGGTAGTTTTTGTGGTAGGTAAATATTAAAGAAATATTTGTTTGCTCCGTCGGGGCTTTTTTTTTCCTAATACCATTATTAACCATTATATATAGCCATTATTTCATGTATAAATGTATTACGAATTTCAGTATTGAGTATAAATGAAAACTGCTAGTACAAGCGACGAAAAATAGGTGTTCGTACTACCATGTTTGCTTTCCATTAAAGCTTATCAATTTTTGTTATGATTTTAGTTATCATGGCTCTATAGTCTCTTTCCTCGAAAACAAAATTAGTTAATAACACGAACCACGGTCGCAGAGTGTAGACAATAATCGTATATAATCACAATATAATTATTATAACAAACAGTAGATGTATATGTTGATGATAGCTACAATATCTCTAATCTTTTAAGAAGTATTTGATAACCATTTCCGCACAAAAAAAATTAACTTTTTTAAAATTTTTAATTAATAATAATAAAATAAGTATGCATCCATACATGAAACAAATTCAATAATGTCCAGGGGGGGGAATCGCCTCTATCGCCACCCCCCTCCCTTATATACGCTCCTGGGTTTGGAGCGTAGCGAGGGATCTATTGGTTTTACTGTGATGCGTGATTTGTTCTATTTATAGGGAAATAAATTTACCAATTTACAAAAATTAAATTGAAATTTCCAATATAAAACACTCAAAATTAAAAAAAAAAAAAAAAAAAGTATTCTTATAACCGTAAGAATATTTTGAATTTTTAGTCACAGTTATTGAAATAAATAAAATATGTAAATACTGTATTATGGTTTTAGTGGCATAAAATGCTATGAACGAGCGATGATAAATATATTATAACATTAAGTACAGTGAAACCTCCTCTAACGGACACCTTCCAACAGCGGACGTTTTTTCGGGATCGGGGACGATACGTTCCAATGGGAAAACCTCAGAATAGCGGACACTATTTATTTTAATCTTAATTTAAAAACGGCGACAAAACGGCTGTGCGATAGTCAAACGCATAGCAATCTCGTGATAATGTGATAGCGATAACGAACTCGATGAGATTACGAACGGCGGACACCTGTGAAGCCGCTTGTGCACGTGCGGGCCGAACCGCTCGCGACCCGATAGCGACAATTATTCGGACGGCGCGCCGAACGTCCGAAGAGCCGCTCGCGAACCGAATCCTCCGGGAGTCGGTTTTTCTGACGCGAACACAACGCGAACCCAGTGTGAGTTTGGACGGCGCGTTGACGAGTTCGCCAGTTTTTGACAAGTACGAACGCTAATGTCGGCGGTTCGGTATGGGTTCGTTTGTTGGTTCGTTGTCGGTATTAGTTGGCGAGCGGATCGCAAGTGTGTCCGCGACATCAACGAACACGACGCGGACCCTTTGACGAGCGGGGTTCGCTGTAAATTCGGCTCGCGAGTGTGTGCCCGGATTTAGAGTTCGTTTGATTACTACGCAACAATCATGTATATTATTTGAAAAATTATTACATCATTAAATCTACGTAATTACTATGTACATAATTACGTTTATATTTCATATTACATTCGTATAACATCATTATAATTTAATTTAACGTAGCGCAAATATATTTTCAATTTACACATTGTTCGATATGAATGAAAAACAAATGTACACCTCAAAGGTTATTCAGAATAACGGACACCTCCGAACACGGAATAGCGGACGAAAATTCGGTGTCCGCTATTCAGAGGTTTCACTGTGTATTACAACAAATTAGTTTTTTTTATCTAACTATTTGAGAGCGTTCGCAGCGTACCCGTGATTTATCAGAAAAATTCCTAGAGTATACGGCGTATATATTGTGTTATTGCGAATGTCAGCAGCTGGCGAATGCTCAAAATATGCTTAATGTCGTCGTACACCAAAATCATCGGTGAATGTCGACGTATTGATTAAATTCGATCTGTTCGTAAACATTTACTTGCGAATGTCAACATCTATTAATCCAGGATTAACGATAAAATCGAAATAATAATACACTATTGTAAACATAATACTATAATAGTAAACATATACTATCTATAGTACCTATACAATATTAGGTACCGTACAAGTTGATAATTTTGATCAAATGTTTCACCACCTCATACCCAACTACGTTTATTAGTTAACTGGATAACGGTCATGTTATGCTGCCGGGTTACGTTATGATTTAGTAATGATAGTGTCATTCAACGCAGATATATATTTCATGTATACGATCGATTTGCACAATAACCGAAACATTTTTTTTTTTTTATAATGTGAAATATACGTGAAGTATTATATAGTGAATTTAATAATTTAGTGTCTAATTAAAGACATGATAATTAGTTTTTTCTATTAGCTGAAAAATATAAACTTTTAAATAGTGAAGTAAATATTTCGAAAGGTACATCCAATAAAAAAACGTAATACGACTATCGTGCCTAAAAATGAATGTTTGTGTAGACATTCCTGATACCCGTCAACTCGTCGGCGGTATATTGCACTATTAAGTTGAGGTAGGATAGTGGTAAAACACCGTTAAAACCCCACGCATTGGACCGTCACACAAATGATACGTCACAGTCACCACTCTTCCCACGCCGAGACTTACATGTGGAATATCTCGTCAACGGGTAAACGTTAACTAAAAATGTCAACACCAAAATTTATTTAAATTAAACCTCTATCTAATCATGGAATTTTTAATGTCGGCTGCTGTTTATAATCAAAAGTAGGCAGTGGTTTCAATCCCTTACAATAAGG